GCCTTGTATCAACGGTTCAGGCTGGTGGTGGTGGTGTCATGGTGTGGGGAATATTTTCTTGGCACTCTTTGGGCCCCTTGGTACCAATTGAGCATCGTTGCAACGCCATAGCCTACCTGAGTATTGTTGCTGACCATGTCCATCCCTTTATGACCACAATGTACCCAACTTCTGATGGCTACTTTCAGCAGGATAATGCGCCATGTCATAAAGCTGGAATCATCTCAGACTGGGTTCTTGAACATGACAATGAGTTCACTGTACTCAAATGGCCTCCACAGTCACCAGATCTCAATCCAATAGAGCATCTTTGGGATGTGGTGGAACGGGAGATTCACATCATGGATGTGCAGCCGACAAATCTGCGGCAACTGTGTGATGCCATCATGTCAATATGGACCAAAATCCCTGAGGAATGCTTCCAGCACCTTGTTGAATCTATGCCACGAAGAATTGAGGCAGTTCTGAAGGCAAAAGGGGGTCAAACCCGTTACTAGCATGGGGTACCTAATAAAGTGGCCGGTGAGTGTAGGTTTCCCTTTTTTAGACATGTTTCATTGTTTTCTAAGTAATAGTGGTACATGTGTACTGAGAAAAACTTGGGATTGTTTTACTCTAGACAACATTCTGTGGTGCATTGCAGCCTAGTTTCTTTTTTTAGGATACTAAAAAAAGGCAATGGTTTTGCCATGACTAGAATTTTGATGTGTTGCACTAGTGTCACAGAATTTAAATGTAATGATTCTTCTATATCTTTCAAAATAAATCTAGACCCTACTGTAAACTAAATATGCACAGCTCTATGAATTTCCATGAAACCAGACCATTGTGCCCTTGCCCCTCCCCCACTAAAGCCCTGGCCACCAGTCACAGTGATCTTACTGGGTCTGAAAATTAGCCAGAGCTCAAAGTGACCTTCATCACCAGACAGCACGTAGACAGGGCCGAAGGACAGCAGCCTAAGTTCTGTATTTATTGCTCTTCTAATATATGAAGTGCTTTTCAAATGAAGAATTGCCGGCGATGCAATGGCAGACTGATAGGACATGACATGTGCGGCTCTATGGGAAAAACACATGTGCACACATACAGGAGAAAAGAAAATTTGTAAAGCTTTTACTGTAGCTATGTGCCGGTCAATTTCAGCTTCATCTTCATTGACGTTCTACACTGGTTTGAGTCATCCTGCTGCATTTTTTTCTCATACTCTAAAAGCATTTGAAGCTGCAAGGAACTGTATTCAATGGGCTCTCTTTTGTTTATTGCTGTCCTGCATGCTAAATGTTTTAGTGATTTTTAGTCAAGGTTGTTGGATTTTATTTAACATACATGATCTAGGGCTGAAACAATTAATCGGATTAACCGTGATTAATCGATTATTGAAATAAACAACAACTAATTTAGTAATCGATTAATCCTTAACTGGAGTATAGAAAATATAAAACATGCCTTTAGCTGGCAGAGCAACCTGCTTAGAGTAGTAAATATACCAAAACTGTAAAAAAAATATGTTACTATTTGGATTTAATTTAATTTAACAAACCTTTGGCGATCTGATTATTTATGGATTACTTGAAAAAATAATCGAACAGATTAATTGATTTGCAAAATAATTGTTAGTTGCAGCTCTATATACTACAAAGTGAACAGCAATACTCTTACTCATTATCAAAGTGTTTTAAGAGAAACACAGCGTTTTGTTCAATAAGAATGAGAAAAGGGTCTATTCCCTTTTCAAATATTGTTCTCATGTTAATCCCGCTAATTAAATGAGGATGTTTATATAGTCCTTTGTGTTTCCTATGTCTAAATATATGAAAAAATAAAAATTTGTATGACATCTTAAATTGCTGGCTTTCACCTTGTGGTCCTCTATTTTCGCCTCTGAAAATTAGTTTGAATAAATGCTAAGGGATTGCAATGACCCACTGCCCTCTGCTGGTTAACACCATAAACCTGTTTATTACCTGTAAGATGAACTCACAGTATAATATACTTGCTATTTAGTATGTAACTGCCAATAAGTAACATTTTCTTTTTTAAGATTTTCTGTTTAACATCAGATGAGTCTTTCAATGACCACTGTAGTCTCAAAAGCTTATCATCCCAATGAATTAAAAATTCCCATGACTATAAATATTTTGGTCATGTGTAATTAATTTTTTGACTGATGCCTACAGAAAAGTTTCTTATTAAATGTTAACATATGGTCAAAAATGATCCCACAAAAGTTTAGAAAAGTGATCAATGAATAGCACTATCAAAAAAAAGGAGCACAAAACAGGAGTTTTCATATCTACAACCTTGACCTAATTGAACACAAGTGGATATCTATCTATCCTGGAAGCTGCCCTGGTTTGGAGGTAGGACTTCTGGATGGACCCCAAATTAAATGTGGAACTTAATACTAAGAAGCTGTTAAAATGTCCTTAATTCTTTCTTTGTATACAGTAATTCTATCTAAGGATTCTTCATGGAGGTTGAGGTGAAAAAAACCCACTCCTATTTAAGAAAAAAAAAATTCAGATACAGACAAGGGGCTTAATGAATTCTGCTTAAAAGTTACTCAAAGAAAATATATATATTTTTTTTTTTACCAAAAGTGCTTTTAATATTACAAATAGGCATCATCAGCATGCATATTCCAAATTACAATGATAAACCCGTACAGTATTCTTTCCTCTCCTATTTTTTTTTTCTGGTTTTATTCTCATCTAAAAAAAACACATAACTCACATTATAGTTAATCGTTCTACTTGCAATAGATATGGATCAGTTTAGAAAAGTATCCATTTACATGCAGCAATTCACTGACATAACAATAAGAGCTCAAACCTCTCCTACCTAAATGAAAAGAGCGACTAAGTGAAACAAGTGTATGTGCTGTGTTACTTTTTTTACTCTAGGGAAGCAGGAGGAAATTGTGCTTAGATTAGAGAGTCCATAGGAAAAAAAATATTTATTTAATTTTTTTCTTTGATGAGATTTTGTTTTATATTTTCCGAACTTTATGTTAATTAAGTGTGGTTCTGGGTTCGATTTGCGGTCCAGGTCTTGTCGGGGTTCTCTCTGGGTACTCCGGCTTCTTCCCACTGTCAAAAAATATGATTTGTAGCTTAATTGGCTTCTCTTGATTGTCCTTAGTTATGAGCGTGCGTGTGCATGTTTGTATGTCTTGCTCATAGACTGCTGGAGATAGGCACCTGCTCCACTGCAACCCTAACATTCTGGACAGAAACACTATTCATTCATTGTAATGTTTCATCGCTGCAGGCCTGTAAAACTAATGACTTTCCAATTCTACACCACATGTAGAGTGCCTTGTACTGATTAACATAAACATTAAATGTGTTTAAATATTTCTTCCAGGGTTTATTTTGCTCTCATTGCATATTAAAAATATGTCTGTCCCAACATGAAACAATTGAATGATGGTTATGTCACTCTTATGCTAAGTATATATTTTTACTCTTGCACCATTTATGAAGAAATGTATAGTTTTTGTTTTATTCGGATTGTATATCAATACCATATACAGTATAACTATTCTCTCACAGTTTTCTTTTCTGTCCTACTTATCACGATATGGTTGCATTCTATTTGTCGGATGATGAAAGTAATGAGGACCAAGCTGTGCAGTATACTCTGAATGCGTTGAGTAGTGCTCACTATAGCTTTGCCTTGTGTTCAGGCTGCAGTTATTGACTCCTGCTTTCCTGCTTCAGCTCACTCTCTGTATCTCTGTGGACTGCAGAACCAAATGACAAATTACCTCAATACAAACGCTTACACACAGCTCAGGTACCAACAAGCCACTTATCTTCCTGTAGAACCCATAACAGCACCCTTTGTTTATCTCAGCTTCAGCCTGTTCAACTGCAGTAAATTAAATGTGCTTTCAGTGTTAGCCTAGGACCCCAACCGTCTTATTAAAAAGGATAATAAAAGTAAGATAGCATACAGATGAAAAAAAAAAAAAACGATTCAAAACATTTTCTAACTCCATCATTTTTCGCAAATGTAACGAAAACTTGCTGTGAACAACAGTCTTAGTTCTGGCTTGTTATATGGGGTCCCTTTTATAACTGTAACAATAGAAACTCCTGATGCTCAGACAGATTCACCAGTGTTTCTCCTTCAGTCTCCTTCCAATCTTTTGAGCAGTTTTGAAAAGTATCCACATGGGTTTCTGTCCAAATGGAGGATATTAAGTTTGAGTTACTTTTAAGTTGTCTGAAGCATAAAGAAAAGAGTGGAAAATGATTGCAATTCCAGACTTAATCAGAATTAAATAAAAAAAAGTTTTTACAATGTTTATATTAAGATAATTTAAGATAATGACTTTACAACTTTTGCTTCTAACACCAAAACTTTTTTTGTCAGACTTGAAGACAGTTTGTTACAACATCCTGCATATGTTTTTTTTTTTGTTTTTTTTTTAAGTTCTTTATCATAAAAGTTTTTTATCAAAACTGAATGTTCACTGCTGATTTAATTTTGACAATAAAATAAAGAAAAAATAGTCTGGAAAAGTAAGATTGTATTTTATTATCAATTTCTGCAGCCATTGTGTCTAATACTGATGGTATTGTATACTTCAGTACAAGCCTTAATGGATCCATTAATATGATTTAATCAAAGAACACCTTATATTCCTTGAACCCTACTTGATTTCACCTAAAGCCAAGTGCCTGCTCTGGTCATTTTTACAGTTGTTTATTCCACCTTCCCCACCAGCTGTATGAATCATTTATACAGAGGTTGTCATCTGCCAGCCAGTAGCCAAACCCATCAGCTCACCACCTACACTGAAATTCACATGAACCCAGCTGTTTTGACAATGAAGCAGTGGTGCTGCAGCAGGGATTATGACTGAAAAACGAGATTTGTGAATGTGTCAGATGCAGTGGAGACTGTTCCTTCTCTAATATGTAACATCCCTTATGCTGCAGTTCATATCATCCTTACCTCTTTCTTCCATCTCCTCTCCTTTTCCCCAGAAATTGAGATCCCCATCTTTTTGCCTGGTCTTGCCAGCTGCTATCTAGCTACAGCATGGCAGACAGTCGACAGCCAGACGATGGTTCCCCACAATGGGAACCATCAGGGGGGCAAGAACCAAGTGTTACACATGGAGCAAACAGCTACTCTTCTACAGCCTACAGGACCTGCCAGAGTGGCGGGACTCACATGACCACAGCTCCTTACACTGCAAGAGAGAATGGATTTAATGGAGAGCTAGCTGGGGCTCCTGCTATAACCGCAGGTAATGTGTTCTGAAATTGTCCATATTTACATTTACCTCTTGAACTTTTTCATTATTTCACATTACAACCACATACTTCAGCTTATGTGACAGATCAGGAAAAATTATCAACTGGACTGGAAATAAATCATGTCTTTGATTTATTTGCAGAACCACCTTTCACTTTTATAAGAGCTCCAAGACCTTGGCTGATGTTGCTGCAACATTTGCATATGAAGGGGCTTACAATATTGCCCATTCACCTTTGCAAATTAGGTTAAGCTGAATCAGATTTAATGAAAAGTGTTATGTCAAATTTATTTCTAAACGTCTCACCACATATTCTTGATTACATTTAGCACTACCACAAGTATTCAAACATATTATATGTACTGCTTTAAACTATCCCATTCAAACCTGGGTGTTTAGAATTACCATGCAGAAAGGTAAACGTCTGCTTTAATATGTCTTTTGTAGACTCTAACATATTTTATTTCAAGATTACCATTTATTTAACTATCCATCTTCCTATAAACTCTGATAAGCTTCTCTGTTCTCAATTTAGAAAATTATTAGATTTATGGGGGATATTACTTTCGCCAAGCAATGTGTATGTGAATCTGTCTAGTAATGGTCTAACCTTTGTTTATCTTTGTTTATCTGTTTACTTTCAACCTTGCTTCAAATAAACAAATGGTTGGTGTGAATTGGTGGCGCAGTGGTTAGCGTGCACGACCCATGTATGGAGGCCTTAGTCCTCGACGCGGCTGAACCCGGGTTCGAATTCGACCTTTGGTGTTTTGCCGCATGTCTCTCCCCCTCTCTACCCCCTTTCTTGTCAGCCTACTTTCCAAAAAAAAAAAAAACAGCCACTAGTGCTGTAAAAACTCAAACAACAAATGGATTTGAAAGGATTGGAGGGCACATTGTGTGAACTGTCAGATTTACATTAAAAAGTTTTAGATTTTAGATATAGCAGTTTTATATTGAACTGCTATATCTATATATACTGCTTTTGTCATTCTGATAGTCATGCAAAAGTTTTCCCAGACAGAGAGGGAATAAACAGTTGAGCAGACAAGGTCTGGGTCAGTTTTCATGTCAAAGGGATTAATGTAAACACATACACTTAGTTACAGTAAAATCTGAGCCCATGGCTATGTCTAAGCCAGTCTAAGTCAATAGCTGCATTACAATAGTGATAGCTTAGAATAACCTGAGGCACTCTTACCATAAGCTTTGTCAAACAGGAAGTTATTAAGCCTAGTCTTAAAAGTATACAGGTATCAAAAATATTTAATGTATTTTAAATCTATATAGAATTAAGAGGCACCCAATATACAGAGGAGGCAAGGGCTGGTTATACTCCCTGCAGCAGTGTGTCACAGTGAGCATGATGCAGACATTTTTGATTTATGTCCAATATTGAAGCGTGGTTTGGGCTATGTTATTCCACGCCACAATGCAAGAGGGACAATCAGGAACTAGCTGTGGGTCTAGATACGGCCGAGGCGGTGAGGAAGTGGGGGAAAGTTTGTCCGACAACGGAGGGACATGAGGGCAAAAAAGAGCTGGGATCCAGGTGGAAAAAGGGTCCCAGCGTTCTCTTGCACCTTGCTCTTCTAGCTGGTCCAACTTCATGAGTTGATTTCCACAATTGTGGTCATACAAACAAAACAAGCGGATGTAGATTGGACTAATCAGAGGCCTCCTGTCTGTGATCACCTACAATTTGGGAGAGGTGCAGCAGAGTGTCTGCGGAGGGACTGGGGACGTCTTTTTGTTCACTGCAACACCTATGTAGGCGACCTAGTTTCGAAGTATAAATCAGCCTTTAGTCCTCGAGGCAGAGATCCTGGGTATAATCCCTGACCTTTGCTGCATGAATTCGGCCCTTCTCTATCTGCCTACTGCCTGTCTGGTGACAGAAAATAAAGCTGAGCAGTGCAGAAGAAAATAATCTAAATTCTATTGAAACAAAATTAAATTAAAAATTAAAGCTAAAAAATGACTGATATCAATTTATTTTAACATTATTGTACAGTACCCTGGTTTCTTATAACAGAAACACCAAGCCAGCAGTTTTCATCATTGCTATGTTTGAAATGGTTCCAGGTTACTAAACTAAAAAATCAGGATAAAAGCACAGTTTTAATCATGCAAGAATCACTTTAGTGAGATAAAATGTGTTTTCTGTTAATATGACAACTCTATTTTTAATTAATTAATTTAATTAATTTTGATATAATAATTTGACTTCTCTTGTTTCACTTTTGGAAAAGGATGAGTTACGTTATTGTTAACTCATGTTGTTTTTGTGGTAGCACAATGTGCATTTGCATATGAGTGAAAACATCAACTGATTTCTAAATTTAAAGAGAATTAATTTCCCCTTTGGGGTTGGTAAAGTATTTTTAAATCGAATAACCTTAAATAAACTCAAAGTGTGCAGGTTCTCTAAAGTTGTATGTTGTATCACTATGTGACCTTTTCATGCTGATACTTTTAAGGTTGTCTGCATAGAGTGGGTTTGCTGCGCTCACTAGGATAGCATACTGTTATTAACAACACTGTAATTAACACATAAAGCATTTCTTTGTTGTAGCCAAACCCTTTCCCCTCTCATACTCAGAGGACCAGATTGGGAAACAGTGGTGCTAGTAGTGTAACTATGGCAACAGTTTCCCTACAATTTGACTGAGCCTTTGTTCTTTTTGACTGTAGCTTGCCACAGACAAAAGAATTTAGCAAGCAATGCGGTAGAGCTAATTTAGAAGCCCATTTTTCCATTGTTGGGTTTTCATATATCATTTTTATTTTTAATGATGATTCGTAATGGGGAGTTTTCTTCTGAGTGTAAATACTGATAATGTCTTTGTATTCAGAATGCAAACCTTCCTAGTATAAATTAGGAAGAAATTACAAGCTGTGCATTTTATGGTTGAAGAAATTATGTTTGCTGCTAAGAACATTTCATTTTGCTGAGTTTCCATTGGGTTTGTTTTGTAATTGAAACAAGGAAGATAAATATAGTATAGCTGATATCAAAGGATATGTCAGTGTTAACACATTATTTAATTTAAATAGGTATGTTGTAGGTCCTTATTATGAGCTTCATCTAAAGGTCTTCAGCAGTCAAGATGTTGGTCTTTATAATGTTTTTCATTGACTAATATCCTCTAAATTAACAGTAAGTCTTTAAAAACGATATGATATGATATTAAATTGTGCACAAATGCATTATATTTGATCATTAGGTAGCTTCTGAGGAAAGTAGCTTTTATTTTTGAGCATATGTGTAAAGGTTAAAGGGGAATGTCTGAATACTTTCTATGGTTTTTCTTTTGCTTTTCAGGTGTGCAACATTTTGTGTTGGTCTATTGCAAAAAAAATATAAGTAAAATACATAGACATTCACGGTTGTAGCTAGAGAAGATGTGGGAAAGACTGAAGGGTATGATTATCTTTTCAAGGCGCTGTAAATGACTCCTTCAGAACTATGTAGTTATTTGCGGAAACAACACAAGCTCCTCTTTTACATAGAGTTACTTGTAATCATAGATTTAATCTGTTTATCAACATCATGTGAGTAGTATTTACACAGCCTTCAGCAGCTGCATGTAAAGCTGTTTGTCTGCTTTGCATCTTATCACATTTCGTTAACATCTCCTCAGAGTAGGGCAGAGTATAGGCTGAGTGGGACAGAGTGGGTTACAGCACGGCTGATGCTGGTTCTCACTCGGCCTTCTCCCCCTTTGAAAAGCTCTTCAGTCACTGTAAGAACCAGTGAAGCACAAAATTGTCCTCTTGACTTTCCCTTGAAAGAAAGTTGGAAAAAGTCAGTCAGCTATGTTATTAGTGTCCAGGGAAAGAGAGGGTGAAGGGATGAGAAAAGGAAAACAATAATTTAATGTACTGCTAAATAGGGTCTGGTGTAGGTGAATTTGGGAGTATGAGGAACTTTGATTTGCTTATAAAAAGATTTTCTGCATATCTTGTCCCTGCAATCTGTCTATTGTTTGACAATATATAAGACTATGCAGACATATAATACAGTAACAAATAAACCTAGAACTTAGATGGTAATCACAAATTGTCCCTGAGGGACTTTGACAGTAAAAATTGAATCTAGCTTATACAGATGTGTAGAAATATATGGATTTGATCAGCCTGAACATTCCTGACCATTGTAGGTTAAATGGTTATATAGGAATTGGCAGTTCAAAGCTTCACAAAAAACATCATCCACACACTTATTGGTACATTCCTACTTGTTATTGTTACTGTTCTTCTCATTTATTTGGTAGTAATGTCAGTGGATATACTACAGTAAAAAGACAAAACAAACTACAGTATTTCAGAGCACAGATGGAAATAACATTAAAGACCCATGTACATTGATTGCTGACTCTAATGACAAAAACCAGACTGGTAACCCTCACTGGAAGACTCTTGGAGCAAAGCCAAAGAACAAACAATCAAACACAGATCTGAAGACACATGACAGGCTGAATGCCACATCTAAATGACAAAACCTGGCCAAGACTCCAGAGAATCATGTTTTCTACTCCAAGTATCAACAGGTGCAAAAAGCTGTTTAGTCCCAAAACAAAGAATAAGGAAGGATTCAATGAGATTACTGAAAATATTGGGATCTCTGCTAAAAACAGGTTTTTAGCCTTACAGGATGACCTTGAAGGGAACAGACTGTTTCCAGACAACAGAAAAACATACGGCAAAATTAAGCTGTCTCCAAAACAGCCTCATAAAAAACAGCTGCTAAGCCAAGAACAGTAATAGCAACTGATAGTAACTAAACATACAACAAGAAAAATACAACAGTGAATTTTGGCTGTTGCATGCTGTCTGAAATCTCAAAGGGGATCATACAGACAAGAGAATTACATCCAACCTTGAAGAACTTAGTCATTCAAATTGGATGAATGAACAATGTTGCTAAGATGAAGTCAGAAATATTGAAGGGAGACATGATTTGTCTTCTCAATGCTTCAGAACAGAGAAAAAAAACTACTTTTTAATAATTTCAATTTACTTTATCTGTGAGACTTTGTGTTTATGGATTTGCGTTAAACACAAATCCATTCAACTTTATTAAGAAAGTTTCACTTGTTTTAGACTCTGATTTGATTTAAATCATAAATACATCCCTAAAAGTAATTATTAAACCATTGTTTAAATTGAAGCTTGGACAAATCGATCCTGCAGAAGTATATGTCTTTCTCAAACCTCTCCTTCATCAGTGAAGTTATTGGAAAATGTGCTTTTCATCATTTAAGTACATTCTTAACAACGACAAATCATTTTTCTGTGCTAACCACAGTACTGACACTGCCTTGATTAAGGTGTTCAATAATATTTGTATAAATTCAGACTGTGAAAGAACCATAGTGATGGTATTATTGGACCTCAGTGCAGCTTTTGATACTGTTTATCACTTGATTTTATTATAGCTCCTGAAAAACTCAGTCGGCCTTCCGTGTACCACACTCGACTGGCTTAAATCCTACCTGAAGGACACAGTTTTCTAGGTGCCATATGGAACTTTAAATCAGGAAAAAGAAAAAGCCCTTACACTGGCTCCCTTTAGCTCAGAGAATAGACTTTAAAATCCATCTGTCAGTCTATAAATTACTGAATGGATCAGGACCTAAATACATAACTGATTTGTTGTCAGTCTATCAACCCCCCAATGCTCCACTTATCTGGGAAAAACTTCCAAAAGACGGTAAAAGTTCTTCAAGCCTGGGTTCTTTTAGGTCAAAGTCAAAAATTTTATTTTTTTTTTTAGAACTGCTTTTAGAACTGCCTTTGATGGTTGAAGTTAAACTGTTAATTGAGGTATTATTAGTTTAAGCTTGTGGTCCAACTGCTTTATTTGTTTTACTACCTGTTTTAATCTTTTTTAATCTTTATTTGCTTTTACTCTGCTTTTATTTTTCTTCCAATTTATAGTTTAATTTATGCAAATAACTCAATTGTCCTTGTACTGAATTGTATAGCAACTACATTTTTACACAAATTAACATACCTTGCCTTGCCGTTTGCTGTACACAGTATAGAAAATACCAGAAAAAAACAGTTCAATGACACAAACAGACACAATATAATGACATTTTTTTTTTGTCAACATACTGTGTACCAGTTGAGAGGAATGCAATATGTATCAACCATTTTATATTTTTTTTCCTCAAACAATTATACAATTTTGATTATGTATTTAATCACAATGAATTTTAAAATAATGCTCAGTTTCTCAACATTAAAGACTTTTCTTGCACTTTTCATCACTTGAAGGACAGGAATGTCACTTCAAAAAAGTCCCTTTTAATGGCATAAAATACACCCTAACCCTATAGGGAGTTTAACAGTTTTTATTTATTTATTTTCTGGATCTCTCACACCAACAAGATGCAGCCATCCATCCATTATCTTACACGCTTGTCCCAGTTGGGGTTGCGAGGGGTGCTGGTGCCTATCTCCAGCTGTCAATGGGCGAGAGGCGGGGTACACCCTGGACAGGTCGCCAGTCCATCGCAGAAGATGCAGCCAGTTTACTTTATTATTATTATTTTTTTTTTTTTTTTTATGAAAACAGTTGGTGATACCTGTCTGACACATTTGATTCATTCTGGTATAATGTATCAGTACCTTTAGAACTGTAATGTGAAACTGTATTAAAGATATGAGCGTTTTGAACAAAATCTTTGCAGATGTTTAATGAGCTACAAAGCCTTTAAAGTAATAGATCTGTTTGGTCAACGGTTGACATATCCTGTGACACTTGTATCTGATTTACAGAGGGACCTAAGCCAGTGGCTTGCAATCCTCTTGCCACGGAAACTATTTGCCTTTTAAATTTTGGTTGCCTGCCACTATCACATCCAAGATCACTCAGGTTCTCTCTGTGACCTTGAGGTCTATGTTTTATGTGCTGATTGTTGACTCCAGGGATGGTTCCTACTGTAAGCCATCCAGCATTTCTGGTTCCGTTGATTAGCATCACAATAGGAGCAAAGTAATTCATATGATTTCAGTCAAAATGGTAGGCTTTAGGAGTCTTTTTTTTTTTGAAAAAAATAAACTGGCCAGTGTTTGATAGGTAAGGTGCTGTCATTTAACATAAGTTGTAAAACTGCTGAGGCAGCAGTTCCAGAAGTTATGTTCTTGACAACAGACTGTTTATTATCAAGCTTTCAATTATTACCGAACCAGAACAACGAAATCAAAATCAATAACTTTTTTATTAACATAATGGATATTCAAATGAGTTATGGCTGTCAGCTGCACTTTAGATTATATGTGTAATTTTTCATGGGAAATTAGGCTGAAAAATTAAACAAAGTTTTCTACTCTTCAGTCTGGTATTAAAGCTAAAGATCTAGGTGTACACACATTGATCTATAAGCTGCAGGCAAAAAACACTGGAACATCTAGTTTGTTTTAAGGATATGTTTTCTTTTTCTTTCCATACAGTGAAAAAACAAATGTAAAAATTTTTTTACACAAGTCTAATTTTAATGTTTTTATTTGACAAATAACTATATATATATATATATATATATATAGTTATAAAAGTAATAAAAAGTAATAATTATTGCCTAATAAATAAACACTGAAAGATAGAGCCCATGCAATTTTGCTGCTGTTAAAAATGCAGCACTGCTTTGAGTTAGTGAGTGGGCAGCACTAAATGCTACCGGTAGAACTGCGTGAATGTGTATATGTAGGAGTGTCTATGGCTGCCAGATTATGTGGTGTGTGGGTGATGCTGAATAGAAAAAGATTCTGAAACAGCAGCATTTCACTGATTTACCCAGCACTCAGTCCTATAACCGCTGCAAACCAAGGAGCTGATTGGGTGCTGCATGCTGAGGGGCTTTATTTAACCTGAAGATATAAATGTAAATCCAAATACTCTTTGACTTGTATGGTAAACAGTCTCAGCCTAAATACATAGAGAATTATTTATATACCTTTTTTTTTTTTGTAAACAAAAAAAAAAAAATGCCATGCAAAAAAAAAAAATCAAGTTTTGTCTGGCATGTTACATATACAATGTAATTTCCCCAAATGTACTTTAATAAAACTACAATGGTCAATGAGTATAAGATTATAGATTTACATATTTTTGTATAATTTAATGTAATTGTGGCTATTCATGAGCCCATTGTATTTGTTCTATAACAATACTCTAAAGGGAAATGTCCTCTCTTCAATTTTTATCAACAGCAGAGTAATGGAACAGAGCAATGATCTGAAGCTTACAACCTCTGAATGTTACATTATTTTTTTTTTTAAATCAAAGTTTTATAGGGGTCAGGTACAAATCTGCTCTTACATTTGACTGGGTTGGCTTCACAAGACTCAGTGTGTAAATTGGACATTTTTACAACCCTGATATCTTTGTGCTAAAACTAAATATGTAAAAACAGAGCTGGATGAAATTCCTTCCCAATAAAGGACTTGCTGCAGTTGCTGAGTTGCAATACCATTTTCACATTTGTCTGGGATATAAGAGATAACCTTTTACTCCTAAAAGTTACCCTAACCCTTATCTATCCTAACCCTTATCTGTCTATAATCAGAGCAAGTTTCGGCACGGATTGTTCAAGAAGTAACGGCAGAGGCAGTGGCGGTGCTAAAGGGAGAACAGGAGACTCAGCGGCTGCCATCCGGTAAGACGCAAATCCCAACACTGGCACGAATACTGCACACAAACACCAATGAGAAATACATCTTTAGCCCATTTGCCACACAGAACTGGAATGCCAGCAGGCAGTAAGGGTCAGGGCAAACTACCGGCAACTGCCCAGGGATTCACAGTCGTATTATGGCAGATTGAAATTAACAGTTCTCATCCTTGATATTCAAAAGAACTTTTACAGTGATGATGTCAGACCGACCTTTGGATCTATATTTCTAGCAATAAGTATAAAATGATCGCTATCCTATTCTTTCTACTAACAGTTACACATGCTATCACACAACATGTTAACATAATACATTGAAGCTTGTGCCTGTGTTATACCCAAATGTATTGAAACTTCAGAATGTATGAACTGAACTTTGTAAATGATTAGAAAACAGTTTTTTTTTTTACAATGCCTAACTCTGGTAGGAAGAAACAGTGATAAAATATGTGTTGTTCAACAGATTGAAACAAACTGATTTCACCTTTCCTCAGTGAGACAGTGACTTCATTGGATTTATATCCTTGTATGCTTGCCTCGTTTGTCAATATGCCTCTTTGCAGTTGAGGATACCACCAATTTGCCTCCCTCCCCTCCCCCTTCACCTGCAGCTGAACACTTTGGTCCCCTGGAACAAGGTAGGCCAAGAATAACTTAAAATAAGGTCTTACCTCTTTCTTTTAACTGTACTTTTTGGGGTGATGTATAGTACCCCATTACCTAAAAGATTCTTTCCAGCCTTCACTGGGACAAACAGCACTGTAATGTTTGTTAAGTGAACCAAACCTGAGCTGTGAAAATTTCCAGCATGTTCTTCTTTCTCCTGTCATGCATTTCCTGTAACTTTTTGGAACATCTCCTCCATCATATGCCTGGAAATCTGTCATTGCCAGTATCTTCATTTTATCATCATTTGTCCCAAATGAATAAATGAGACATTTAACAACATGGACGTTGTGTTGTTGCACTTATAGTATTTTTTTTACCATCCTCTTTAAACAAATCATTTCCTAAGCTCCTTCCACACACTAAAAACAACCATTTAAAGTTATCCTCCAGCTTCCAATTATTAGAATGCTTAGAATTTGCATGTTTCTGGTCATTGTGCTTTTTGCTCCTTGTCTCTTGTCTGACTTTTCTGTGTTTTTGGCTGAAGCTTTGAGTCAGAGACTAGTTCTTTAATAAACGAAAACAGTGATCTTAAATCCAAATACTACAAGGTTATACTGGAACGTAAGCTTTAAAAGAATGACAACTATTAAAAGGTTTTTAGATAACTTCTGATGATGGAAGTCTAAAACGTTTTTTTTTTTTTTTTTTAGGTAACTACAGTTTTGTTAAATATAATATGAAGCATTAAAATGTGTTTCTTTCTCTCTCCAGTTTGTTACATAGACCGGTAACAGTTTTGTAATGTTTCTGTGACGGTGAAAAAAAAGGTTTTGCTGAAGTTTGAACTCTAACTGAGAAATGTTTCAATAATTAAAATTATCTAACTTAAAACTACTGATATCTAAAAGTAGAAGTTATACTTTAATACAGATGTAACTAAAATGTTAGAAAATAGTGAAATTATTGAATAAAGGAATCAAACCGATTTTCTAAAAAAAAAAAAAAAAAAAAAAAAAAAAAAGAACAGAATATTGCACAAAGGCTATTAATAATGGGATTTAACACTGAAGGATCAGATGGAAAATTTGGTAGATTATATGTATTCCAGTTTTTTGTTAGGAGCTATACTTGCTTAAATTAACTGCAGCCTTCACCTCTATCTCTCATCTCTCTCCTAAGACTACTCTATAGCATCTATAGCCTGGTGTTGATATCAGGGGAGTTAGCTGGCCCATTAGACACACTAAGGGCATACACTGTACGATTTTTTTTGCCCTTTTCGGGACGATTCTTCAGTGATGCAAAATTTTTTTTAGATCGAGCCGTGTTTCAGCCTCATCGGGCTTCCTGCGTCATGTAGTATACAGAGGGTAACAAGGGGCGACCACCTCAGCATCAGGAATCGTAAGGTCGGGGGAAAATCAAACATCTTTAAAATTCAGTCAGCCCACGTGACGTGTTTGGGATCAAATCCAGAACTTCGAGCACTGCGTATGTGCAAATTCTTCTTACAGACTGACAAGTCCGACCAGCACCATCTCTCTGCGCTGAGTCCGACATGAGGTTCCTGGATGTACAATATCACATCAGTGCGTCGGGCCGCATAGTGTGAGAACATACATCGTGAGCTGTGTTTCTTTTAAACCCTGATACAGTTTGAGCTGTAGGAAGCATTGAAAATATCGTACAATATTATGCCCGGCTTAATTTCCACCATTGCCATATACCCATGTAGCTACCTTTGACAATGTAAGCAAGTGCTAAGTCCTGCTTGAACATCAACTCCCCCCCTCCATAACTGCTATTTAGGAGAATGAAGCAAAAAGATCTTTAAAAAGATCTTAAGTCTCCTGATATATACCTGTTTTTACACACATTGGACCAACCGCAGTAGATTAAAGATCATCACTAACTGTGGGAAACATGATCTACTGTATGACTTCAAGCTACTCTGATTTTGTGCCTCATTTTTTAAAATTAATGCCTAGTTAAGTGACTGTGTCACTGGTTAAGATGCTACAGTAATTACAGACGGACTCTTGCATATAATTCTTTGTTCTCTTGCTCTTGAACTGCTGTTTCTCCTTACAGTCCACACATTTTGCCTTAAAAATCGTAATGGGATTTGCTGCAGTGTTCTGTCAAGGTTACATTTATCCTTCTCGTATGCAAATCTTTTTCCAGCACACTTTTACCTCCCACACAGTTTCCCAATAATATACCGTAAGCTTGAGTACAGCACTCTGTGTTTTAGCAATGAAATTTATTAGCTAACCCTGATTGTGGAAGCTAATGTCAGTAACTATCGAATGAAAAGTTCTTATTTCTCTATAAAGCATTTTTTTTATTGGTTTGATAGAAACAGATTTTCCATTAACCATCTGCCATAATAATCAAAATAGATAATAGTTTTCACTTTTTAAATTGAAACTCTTAAATTAATCAACATTTTGATAACTATCTCATGTATTTAGATGCATCTGTTAATGACAGAATGTTTTGAAAAGTGTGATAGATTTGTACTATAGTTTGCATCAAATGTTTTTTTTTGTTCTAGAACTAATGAAATCTGTTACTGCAAATGTTTATTGTCTATCGTTTATGTTTTATAATAATAGAAGGGAAAAAATGTCTTCAGTGAAATGATGCCTTTTTTGGCAGTTTCTAGTTAAAGGCTGGCCCCTAAAGCTTTGATTCATTTGAGTTACTTGTCCTCTTGTTGCTGTGTGTTATATGTTTGTTCTCCTCAATCAAGCTTTTTCCTCATTGTTTTTTTTCGTCAGATTTTTGTTATGTTCTGTTTCATATTGTAAATACCCTTTTTGATTTTATTCTAAAGCATTTTTTTTTATCTGCAAAAAAAATGTCCATCTTAAAAATAATGTGAACAAAACCCCCTCAATCAAATAATCTAATGGTCTGTGGTCGGGCCCAGTTTAAAAGTAAAGATCTAATTTATAGAAAAAAAAACATTTACGTTTTAAAGTCATTGTTTCTAAATTATCGATGGTGAAGAATAAGATGTATCAGTAGTAAATTAAATCTAAATTTGAATTGCTGCATTTATACAGCACTATGTACAAGTAATTGGACATCTGCTATAAATATGAAAATTTACTCCATTTAAATGAATCCTAATCTTAAATTACATAATTTTGCATCCAAGCTATTACAGTATATAGAGTACAGTCCATTTTTTGTCTTTGACCAAAAATTACCATTCAGGTCTTTCATTGATCTAAGTTTGTGAAAAGTGTCAGTGTACAGCCTTTCATGGCACCACCTCCAAACAGCTATTCACATTATGGAGAACTGGAGACACCACTGTGCCACTTATGCTAATAAGTGTGGAACCAGTGATTTTGTCTTTCTCTAGGCTTTTTTTTCAACAGATAAAATGCACAAAAAGTAAAGACATTTTATTTTAAAAATGCATAATGTCTTTACTAGTTTTATATCTGCAGTAAAAGAGGTTTAAGATTTTAGCATCTGATAAAAGGGTTTAAGTTGATAAAACTAAGTTTTAAACCAGTGTTTCCCAACCTTTTTAGACTTATGGACCCCTTTGGGTATTTTGTCTTACCATAAATAGCCTCTCTTTTAAAAGTATTGATGATGGAGCTTACAATACCTAATTATAAAAAAATAAAATAAAAACTATTTGACTAAATCTTTTTATTTGAGCATTTAATTATTAAGCGTTTTTATGCTTTCCATCTCAAATAAAAAACAACATAAATATGTTCCCTGGAAGTTAATAAGAAATGGAAAAAAATTAAAAAAATAAATCATATTATAAATCTATGTTTATAAAAATTAAGCACCCTTATATTTATATTCAAACTTGTTGAATTTGCAGCAAAATGCAGAACAAAATTATAGTCAGACTGACTAAATTAGTTTAACATTGTTTTCTTAAAGACACCTAAGCAAAAAGCAAAACAGATTCCAGCCCTATTTTATTTTACTGCCTAAGAAATACCATTTTTTTCGTGTACCCCTTGCAACGCACACGCGGACCAATAGGTTGGGAATCACTGTTTTAAACCTCAACTCTAGTCATTTCCTAATACTCCCTTTAAGATGGTCATTCTTTGTGTGTTTTCTTCATTTTCGTCTTTTATTCTTTCCTTCCCTTTCACTGTCTCTCTTTCAGTCTGTGTCCGAATTTCCCTGCAGTTCTTCTCCTTGTCTGTCTTGTTCGTAGATGTAGGGGATGAGGAGGAGGCAGGTCCTCTCCGCCGCTTCCAAAATTCTCGGGAGAGGTGCAAGTTCCTCGCCCCCTCCATCTCAGTTTCCGTGCCTGAGGACGACCCCTACCACTCCGACGAGGAGTACTATGACCACCCATTGTTCAGCCCAGAGTGGACGCACTCAGGCGCTCGCCCCACTGGGCACGCCGTGGCCTTTAGACAGATTGAAGGTGAACCACGCATGGTTCCTCTTTGCCATTCTCCCCTTATTTCCCCACTCCTTCATTGTTTTCCTTTTGTGATTCTACCCTCTTTCTTCATTCCTCCCTTCTTTTTGTCCTTCCGTCTCTCCGTCCTTCAGTCCGTCTCTTTGGCTGTCTTGACGTGATGTTTGTGTGTCCTTGTGAAGTGTGTCCAGTCAAAATCTGACTTTTTTTTTAACAGTCATACTTTTTGCTGTCATTCATTTTAATCAAAGCAGTCGCTACCCGTGGTTGCCTCGCCGTTAACAACAACACATGGCAGTGATGTGTATAAAGTATGACATTATGTTTTTGTGATTCACTCAGTAAGCATTTTCATCAGTAACACTGTGGCCCAAAAAGCTGACTCTGAGGACATGATTTAAGCTTAACTGCTAGCACAACTTTCTTAGAGGCTGTGAAAAGCCACTCTGCACAGCAAAAAAAAAAAAAAAAAGAAACAAATCCTTCGCCAAACATTTGCAAATCTTGGAATTATTCATTGAGATTAAACCATTTTTTTTTTACTTGTGTTTTGTGCATCAGTAATGCTCCACACATTATCACAGTTTTAACACCATTACTTTAGCTGCTACAGACACACAAACACTTCCTTGTAGTTTACAATTGAAGCCCGATATGTTATTGCATCCGATTATTTTACTTTCATTTCAAAAGTTGTATATAAAAACATTTAGATAAGCAATAGAGAATATTGAATGCAGTCTAGCTGTTTTTCAACTATAAAAATGTGCATAGGATTCCATTGCATTCATCAATCTTGTTTTATCTACTGACAAAATACCATACCACAGCTACAGTTTTTCTCTAACTTTCTTTAAACACATAGCACTAAACAATAGTGCAAAGTTTGGGACTTTAAATAAATATGCAATTCAATGCTGTAGTAACTTATGTTATTTAATCAAATAACTTTTAGATGTTCATATGTTGTTCTTTGAACGATACATGAAATGGTGTAGTAACAATAAAAAAAAAACATTCAGCTCCTTGTCTAATTTCAGTTAAAATTCTTGACCAAACTAGTAACTAGTAACTCAACTAAACTAAGCTATCATGACACATAGAAAAATTATTAAAAATGGTTGTAAACCATAATTATTCAAAGATATAGTTTTGCATAGACTTTATGTTTGAGAATAAATGTTTATTTGGAAGGGTTTGGAATGAGGTCAACTTAGCTGTTTAATAATTTGGAGCAATTGAAATGTGTTCAAACCAATTTACCATGCAATGTGATTAATACTGTATTATTGGGTAAAATATTATAATTTATTTAAATGAATATTATTTATTTAATTACATTTATTAAAATAAATATTATATAATATAATAAATATTATAATAGTATGTATTAGAATAATTATTATTATTTATTAAAATAAAGTTTGATATAAGTTTATAAACCGCAGCTCCAAATATGTCAGAATTAGAGGACCTTCCATGTGGTAACTATTAGCTTCTTACTTTGCATGTCCGTGAACACATGAAATGATCAGTGATTATCAAAAACCCAAATTTTTTAGTTGATGCGTTTTGGTGAGGAGGAAGTTTAGTAGAGCAAAACTGCATCTTTCTCCACCAATGCTTATTGTGAATATAATGGTAGCTTTTACAGTTGCTTTTTGTATCTCTGCTTCTGTCTTCTTGAACCCCAGTCGGCCTCGGCAGATGTCATGGGATATTTAAAACAGTCTTTTATAAGTTGAGTTAGTTATTAGTGTTTTACCCTGACCTACAGTATCAGTAACTATAACTAAATTAGTAGTACCATATGAAGTCTTCCAACAATCTGCCAATACTTTCAAAACTTTCGCTATGTTCTCTGTTACAGTTCTCGTTTCTATAAAAGCTTTTTGTAAGTATTTTACTTTACAGAAACAAGTATTTAGACTGAGACCTATTGAAGTGTAGCTTATTTGATGATGCATAAATAATGACATTACATATATCTATAAAATTTTAAACAAATCAAGATTTTCAGCAACTCTAAATTTTAAGTAATTCAGCTTAGATATCCAATATATATATGCATGTATGTATGTAACTGTACTTCTGTACTTTTTTTTTTTTTTTTTTTTTTTACAGTTTTAGTAATGTTTTTTCAGAATAAAAAATGTAATTGAATTATGTGATAGGGTTAAAAGTACTCTAGTTAACTGTTACAACTTTGATCTCAGTGACCTATTACATGTTTGTTTTTATATTAGCCATGGTGAGAGAAGCACTTATTTCTTGGTACATAGCAAATTAGAAACAGTAAAGATATTAAAAGATCACAGGATTATGATCTTTAAACAATCTAGCCAACCGTTACAATTGTTGCGTATTTAATCATATAATTAATGTTTTTTATTCTTCTTATTCTACTCTTTCTGTATGTATAGTATATAAATCATTCCTAAATTTGAATGTAAGAGCATTTTTCCTCCCCACTTACAGAGAATCTGCATCAAAGTAAATACATAATCAGATCTAAAGTAAAATGTCTCCCACAATACTTAAAACACTCACCAACATCCCTCTGAATATAAAAATGCCAACATACTCTTGCTGTTTTGGATAAAAATAAAATTTAATTATTTGGGTCACATTCCTCCAGAGTTTAATATATCCCCTCATAAGTTATGTTCTTACATAACCCAAGTCTGTGTTGCCTGTAGTCTTATTGTGTCCCCCCTTTCACCCTGTTTTTGAAAAGAAGAGACCATGGAGGCTCTTACAGCTGAATACGAGGAGGATGAGGAAGAGGTGGAAGAGGAGGAGGAGGAGAGTGCAGAAGCGGCAGTGTCCGAGGCAGCTCTTGATGAGCAGCAGTGGAGTGGGGAAGAGCCCGAGATGGACAGCCCCAAAGCTGAACCCTTAGATCAGACAGAAGCCTTAGAGGTGGCACAGGATGTAGACCTGGGGCAGTCTGAGGCAGCTTGTGCAACCACAGAAAGCTCTGTGGACAGAGACGAGGAGGAAGAGGAGGAGGAGGATGCAGAGGGTGAGGAAAGCCATGAGACAGGTGTGTCCTGTCCTCTGCTCTCCCTGCCTGCATGTTATTGCATTCTATACTGTAATAAAAGTTAATATATGTCAAAAAGAAAGCAAATGACATAAGCATTATAATTCAACTGGAATGACAAAAAACCTGCGCTCTGCTGTGGCTGCAAGGCAACACAGGCTTGTTGGTGAAGAGAGTCACATTGTTCAAATCGACCTATTTTTCCCTTGTGTTGTCTTCGCTTGTGTTTTTATTTTACCGCTGTAGTTTTTGGGGCCGGCCGTTTTGTGTTGATATAATGATGTGAAGTGATGCTTAATATGACAATGCTTTTTCTTTTTAATCTCACATTTTTATAAGCTTCCTAGTCTCTCATTATGTTTACACATAATGGCATGGTGCTGGTGTGCCAGTGCTGAACATTTAATGCTATCATAAGTCATAGCCGATAAACATGAAATGCTCATTTTTACCATCAATCTCAGTATAAAGACTTTAGAGGCAAGCTGTGTTTGATGTCTCTTGCTCAGTTTGGTACAGGAATCTGTAGAAACATTTCCATTTCTAGAATTATAATAAAACAAAAAAGCAAATGTATCTTAATTTGCTTTTCTTCCCCTTACAGTTAGTGTGAACATGTGGCATTTTTCTGTCATTCACTAAAAAAGTAGTAATTTTTGGATTTTAAAGATCTGTCATGAGCCCTCAATGGTCCATGTGATTCTCATATGGATTACTATTATTAATAACCTCTAAACTTTATACTTAACTTATAACTTATGTAGCAATGATCTTCAGTGAGTGACAGAAATATATGCTTTTTACAGTAGTTGATTTGAAATGCATGGATATTCATCCCATCTTTCATTACTGTTTTTCCATAAATCATCCTTACAGTTGCCTCATGTCGGCTCCGTCACACTGCATCTCATGTCTTTCATCCATCTGTGACATGGTGGGTCGTTAGTGTTGCCGTATCTCCTCAGTGGTGGCTGTATCATTGTGCTGTAAGTTTCCAAAGGAGAGCTTTGCCTGGTTGTGCAAAAGCTTTTCCTGTGACCGGCTAATAAACAATCCTTGTACATAGCATGCTTAAGCAGTATTTTTCTGTTGTGATGGAACCAGTCAACTTACAGATATTTTTACAGCTTTGAAGATGGATGCAGACAAGCAAGAGAGTGAGTCCATGAGCCCTGACAGCATTGGATCGGAGAAGCGCCCTGAGGAGTTTTTTGAGCCACAGATGCAAGGGTTCTTTGCTGGTGAACGAGTTGTACCAGAAAGCCCAACCATGGAAATGCCATCCTTTGTGCCTCCAGATCTTCAAACCCAAGTAAAAGAACCAGTGAAATCTCTCACACTTCAGCCTACATATGGTGAGCCAATCACAGTGTCAGAAAAACAGCCATCAGTGGAGGTGGTGGAATTCAGCAGCATCACTGCCCCTTCAGATTTCTCTTCGATGGGAGTTAAAGTTGAAGGAGCAGATGCAACCAGAGAGGCCAGAGACAAGTCAGGCATGTCAGCATACTTTGAAACCTCAGCTATGGAGGTTAAGGAAGGTACAGAAAGTAAGGGTGAGGATTATTACGAACTGAGTCGGTCTGGTGAAAAGAAAAATGAAAATGATTTCAAGTCCCAAGAAGTCAGCTACAGCACACTTGTAGAAACGAAGGATAAACCAGAAACCAAAAAGCCTCTGTCTGGAGACACTGACATGTTTGCAAATCCCGATAGAAGTAATGAATGCAGACTTTCACCTGGTAAGCTTGCCTTAGAGCAGAGGAGTTACTCGCTTAACATCACCATTGGAGCAACAGATCAGACTGGACAGGGAAGGCAAAGAAATTTCACCCCCTTGGCCACTGACATTATGTCATTTACAAGTGGAAGTCTTGATGAGTCAGCTGACTACCTTCCAGTTTCTACACCTTCTGTAGATAAGCCTCCATCATTCCCTCCACTGATCCTGGAGACTGCAGCCTCTGTCACATCCGATTCCTCTTCACCTCCTAGAACTGCTGAAACACCAATAAAAGTTAGTCCAGAGCCTGAATCTCCTGAATCACCAGAGCCAAATAAAGGTTCATTTAAAAATGGATCAGTAATGACACAGGACTTACCAGAGATGCTAGACCTTGCTGGTACTCGGTCCAGGCTGGCTTCAGAAAACACAGACCCCGAAATCATCCAGAAAAAGTCATTCCAAGATGATTCTCCTACCTTTACTGAGAACCCTCTGGCTAATCTGACTTCAGGGGAGCTGAGTCCTGGGGTAAGAAAAAGTGATAGCCAGCTGGAAGAGATGGGCTATTGTGTGTTCAGTGAATATTCTGGGCCAATGCCGTCCCCTGCAGATGTGCTAAGTCCTACCACAACCTCTCGACAAGTCTTTACCCCTTCTGTACTAGAGGAGAAAGTGGCTGAGCAGGCGAGAAAATTGGCAGTAAGAGACACCTCCTTGGAAGACAAGAGCCAGTCATCTGTAGATGCTGATGTTCATGAGGGGGAAGACCAAAACCAAGCAGGAGACGAAGATTCAGTTGAGGAAAGCACGAAATGTGATGCAAATGATCTGCTGATAAAACCTGTGAGTGTGACACCTCCTACTCACCCAAGTGAGCCCTTCGTGACACCAACTGTCACTGTGACTCTGGAGGAAGGTGAGAGGTCAGCTAGTGAGATGGAACGTCAAGCCAGTGGTGAAGCTTCAGTGACAGAAATTGAGATAGCAGACTATGAGAGACAGATCCGCAAGCTGGAGATGGAGGACAGACCTCTGAGTCTGGAGGAGGAGCGAGAACTGCAGGAACTAAGAGAAAAAGTGAAGCTTGTGCACCAAGAGGCCTATGAGGAGGTCGATGCTGAAGATGTTTATCAGCTTACTGGGATGGCTAAGGACCGCATTGCCAGACCTGTGAAAACATCACCTACTTCATCTGTAGAGAGCAACATTGATGATGACAAACTGCTTTCCCCAGTACTCTCACCCTCAAAACTTAAGCAAAAAGAATTGTACGGTTCACCGAAAAGATCAGCTTCGCATGTGTCTGGAATAAGCAGAGATGAAAGGCCTGAAAAAGAAACAAAAATTAAGGAAGACCAAGAGAAAGAGGCAGCTGAGCAAATAAAAAAACAAGAGGATGAAAGAAAAATCAAGGAGGAAGCAGAATTAAAGGCAAGAGAGGAGCAAGAGAGAAGAGAGAAAGAAGAGGCAGAAATTCAAGTGAAAGAGCTAAAAGACAGATTGGAGAAAGAAAAGAAAGAGAAAGAGGAGATGGAGATTAAAGAAAGGGAGGAAAAAGTAGAAAGAGAAAAGATGGAACAGGAGGAGAAAGAGAAGAAAGAAAGAGAACAGAGGGAAAGGGAGGAGAAAGAAAGAATTGAAAGAGAAGAGAGGGAACGGGAGGAGAAAGAAAGAATGGAAAGAGAAGAGAGGGAAAGGGAGGAGAAGGTGAAGAAAGAAAGAGAAGAGAGGGAAAGGGAGGAGAAAGTGAAGAAAGAAAGAGAAGAGAGGGAAAGGGAGGAGAACGAGAAGAAAGAAAGAGAAGAGAGGGAAAGGGAGGAGAAAGAAAGAAAGGAACAAGAAGAGAGGGAACGGGAGGAGAAGGAGAAGAGAGAAAATGAAGAAAGGGAGAAAGTTAGAAAAGAAAAAGAAGAGAAGGACAGGAAAGAAAAAGAGGACAGACTGCAAAAAGAAATTGAAGAAAAGGAAAATATGGAGCAAGAGGACAGAGAAAGGAATAAAAGAATGGAACAAGAGACGGCAGACAATGTGTTGAAAGAGAAGATGGAAAAGGTGGAGCGGGGAAAAAATGAAAATGAGGATGAGGAAAAGGTAGTGATGGAATTCACTGAGGAGAGAGAGCAACTTCAATTGTCTGAGACTGACAAAATAGCTTCAGATAAGATAGTGGCAGAAGAGGGAATGCAGCTAACAGATAATAAAGATCCATTGAAAGAGGAGAGTAAAGGAGCACAGGTGCAAAAGGAAATACCAGAGACCCATGCCGCCATTGAATCAGTGGTCATGGTTGAAGATGATTTCATCACTGTGGTACAAACAATCGATGAAGCCGAAGAACCAGGTCACAGCGTTCGTTTCTCAGCCCCACCTGAGGCCGAGGCCCTTTGTGTTGGTGCACAAAAAGAAGAAGAACATGACGAATCTGTGGAGTTGGCTCAGGAAGCAGACTTAGAAGCTCTAAGCCTTGAGGAAGTAGGAGAGGTTCCCGAAACACCTGCCTCCCCAGCACAGGAAGCTCGGACCAGAGAAACAGAGGTACCGTCTGAAAGCTATGATAGAGATGAAACAACAGTAGATGACTCCATCCTTGACAGCTCCTGGGTTGACACACAAGGTGAAATTACTCTATGTATCATGTTATTTATTATATTCACTCCATTTCCTTTCCTTAGTGTTTCTAATCAGATTTTCTGTTTACTAGACGATGACAGGAGTATGGCAACAGAACAGATCGAGCTTTTACCTGAGGTACCCAGTCCAGCTAAGAAACCTGTTGTGGTCCAGAGCAATTTGACAAAACAGCGGAGTACGGAAAAACGAGAGAAATCTGTCAAACCCAAAAGTAAAACAGGGCGAGCCAAAGGTCGCATCTCAACCCCTGAGCGCAAACCTGTTCGAAAAGAGCCCACCTACATTCCCAAAGAGGAGCTCAAGAAGAAAAAAGGTAATTTGAAGGTTCATCATTCGTTTAATAAAAAATGTGATAATCTAAGCACTGCAGGAAATTATAAACTTTTTATGTCGTCATAAATAGTCATACTGTTTAAAAAGAAAGTTGCTATACATTTTATACAATTTGTGAGTTCATTTAAAATTAACTGTAGTAAATGAAGGTTTTATATGTATATGGATCTACCTCCCTGAAAAAAAAAATGACAAAAAAAAACAATTTGACACATTAAATTTTTTTTCCGTTATCATGATAAATAAGTACTGAAACCAAGAGTTAGGGCTACTTAGAGAGAGAAAAAATGAGGAGGAAGGGTCTTTTGTGGTTCTTTATGAGCTTTATTATATAAAAGCAAACTTCAACCCTTTTTTACTCAAAGTTGTACTACAAAGTATTAACAGCACTTTTCATAAAATCAAGGAATATATTTATAAGAATAAGGAATTAAGCGCATGCAAGCAAGCAGAAAAAGTCACCAAAAGTTGATGACACCCCTGGAAGGTGGACTGTGCATCAGTCTCTAACTGATTATCAATTCTAATGCTTAAACTGTAGGACATTGCTATGCTTTAAAAAAAACAACATAAAGGTAGATGAGGACTTATTTTAATTATTTCATTAATCATAGATTTTAGGTATTTTAAATATCAATTGCTCTTAAATACACAGAGAAAAAGTTCCAATATTTTTGATTAATGCAAAAAGAAAAACCTGGTCAAGTAAAACCAAGACGGCACCAGCACAAACATATATGATTGATTGATATGGCTCTTGTTTATGAGCTGTTTTGATGAAAAGCAACACTTTCATCATCATCATCATCATCATCATCAATGTTATTTGTAGAACACTTAAAAACAGGTAACAGCTGAAAACAAAGTGCTGAACATACTGTAGATAAAATAATAAACACCAAAAAAGAATAAAATACAGCATAAAGATAAAAGAATTTCTCTGAGCTAAATAAACAAGGTCACAAGAACTAATTCCTGCCAAAGTTAAAAGCCAGCGAATAAAAGTAAGTCTTGAGCAATGTTTTAAAATTTGGCAGTGAAGGAGCCTCACTAACATGAAACAGGAGGCTATTCCATTAAAGAGGAGCAGCGATAGAAAAGGTTGTCATCCCTCTGAGCTTCCTCTTAAACCTCGGTAATTGCAGGGGCTGCTGTTCTGCTGACCTTAGGGACCAAGGAGGCAAGTAGGGTTGAAGGAGCTCAGAGAGGTAAGGTGGGGCAAAAAATCTAATCGAAATAATCAAATCTAAAATAAACAGGCAGACAGTGGAGTTAAGCCAAGACAGGAGCGACATGGTCATATTTTGCACCCGCTATAGGAGAGACGGCAAAAATCTTCTGCTAGGTAGAACCCTTTTGGCAGCCCTGGTCCTCTCATGAACCCAAGGCTCAGGTTTAGACTTAAGCTTCTTTCTTCTTAAGGGAGCTACATAGTCAAAGATTGTTCGACATGAAGAGTGAAAACAAGGGGTGAGCTCCATCATCACAGAGGAGGACCCTCAGGAGGAACAGGGAGCTGATTAAAAGCCTCTGAAAATTCCACAGCAGAGGATGGATTAAAAGTCTGACGGTGACAAACAGGGGGACCGGATTCAGTTAAAGCTTGCTTAAAACAAACAAGAAATAAAACAAACATATGATCTGACCAGCCAGAATCACATATTTCACATTAGACAAAGGCAGATCATTAGATAGAACCAGATCTAATGTGTGACCTCGCTCATGTGTGGAAACAGTTACTGATTGGATCAGGTTAAAAGAGTCAATTAGGTCTAAAATCCTTCATCAGCGGTTTTTCATGACCAACACACATGAAAATTTTAATCTCTGACAACAAGAACATATCATAGCTGGGCATAAACTCATACAGAAAGCATTAGAGGTTATTTTAAAAGTTTTTATCATATTGAGGGGGGCGGTAAATAATAGAGCAGAAGACACACTTTGAACTATTCACCTGAAACAAAGTTAGTTCAAAATTGGAAACAGAAGGCTTAGAGGCGGGCTGTTTACATTTGAGAATTATAACAATTTTAATTTGATTTCAGTATTTTATCTGATAAAAAAAATCCATAAAAATTTAATAATAATAATAATTCAGACCTTTTCCTCCAATTGAATACTCCATATTTAAAGTTGTTTTCTCTAAGATAGAAACCAAAAAATAAAAACTCAAATAATGACACAATAATCTCTTATCATTGGTTTGTTCAAAGTATTTCATACCCTTTTATAATTTCCTTATTTCTTCCACTTTGTAGCTATCATAAAGAAGACTGAGTTCAACAAAAAAGTTGAGACTCAAACTCTTTCTCCATCCAAGCGAAGCACCATGAAGCCCACAACCCGTCACATACGGCCCATCCAACATCACTCCTGCCCAAGAAGGAGACCCACAGGTAATCCATCATTACCTATATCTCTCATACAGCCTTAGCAGTCATCAGAACAGCAGTGTTTGTGATGTCTATCATGCATTATCAAAGCACTCCTCTTTTAGCTAGATTTTTTATTTTTTTGATTACTGTTCATTGTGTTTGGTTGGGTTATTATGTATTTATTCACTATAAAATGGATCAAAATAAGTGTTTTCATGTTTCTCTGACTTAGCATTTTGTATTCTAATGTTTTTTTTCATCATTTTCAATTAAACCGTTTAGGCCTTCTGTTTTTATCTTTTTGAATAAAAGCATGGTTAGCTTTTATTTCTTACCACGATCACTTAACCTTTTTTAGTTTGTTGTTTTTACCTGTGCTCTCTCTTAATATTACATATAGTTTGGGTCATTTCTGATCTCAAATTCTCAAACTGCTAAGTTTTAAAGCACAGTATAACTGCACTATTCTACTCTCTGTGTATGGTTGCTTCAAAGCTCCTGATCTATATTTCATCTCTATAAGGACTCTGTAATGCTGCTCTGTCCCAGAGGCGGTTTGCGCCTAATTTTCCCCTGATTGACTAAATTCTTTGTCACCAAGGATGACACTCAGCTTAGTGATGCATGCTCCACTTAGATAATTTTCCATCGTTGCTTTATATAATGAAAATCCTCCCATCTGTTTGATTCATTGCCAACACTTTGAAGAACAAAGCTCTAAAAGGAACAGCAACCTACTCAAACTGCACATTTGATGACTTGTAGCCTATAATTCCACATATACAGGTGCTGGTCATAAAATCAGAATATCATGAAAAAGTAGATTGATTTCAGTAATTCCATTTAAAAAGTGAAACTTGTATATTATATTCATACATTACATACAAACTCATATATTTCAGATGTTTATTTTGTTTAATTTTGATGATTACAAATGACAACAAATGAAAATCTCAAATTCATCATATCAGAAAATTAGAATATTACTGAAGACCAATAAAAACAAAGGATTTATAGAAATGTTGGCCAACTGAAAAGTATGAACATGAAAAGTATGAGCATGTACAGCACTCAGTATTTAGTTGGGCCTCCTTTGGCCTGTATTACTGCAGCAATGCGGCGTGGCATGGAGTCGATCAGTCTGTGGCACTGCTCAGGTGTTATGATAGCCCAGGTTGCTCTAATAGTGGCTTTTAGCTCTTCTGAATTGTTGGGTCTGGTGTATTGCATCTTCTTCTTCACAATACCCCATAGATTTTCTATGGGGTTAAGGTCAGGAGAGTTTGCTGGCCAATTAAGAACAGGGATACCATGGTCCTTCAACCAGGTACTGGTAGCTTTGGCACTGTGTGCAGGTGCCAAGTCCTGTTGGAAAATGAAATCTGCATCTCCAAACAGTTGGTCAGCTGCAGGAAGCATGAAGTGCTCTAAAACTTCCTGGTATGTGGCTGCGTTGACCCTGGACCTCAGAAAACACAATGGACCAACACAAGCAGATGACATGGCACCCCAAACCATCACTGACTGTGGAAACTTTACACTGGACTTCAAGCAACGTGGATGAAGTGCCTCTCTTCTTTTCCTCCAGACTCTGGGACCTTGATTTCCAAAGGAAATGCAAAATTTACTTTCATCAGAGAACATGACTTTGGACCACTCACCAGCAGTCCAGTCCTGTTTCTCTTTAGCCCAGGCAAGATGCTTCTGACGCTGTCTGTGGTTCAAGAGTGGCTTGACACAAGGAATGCGACAGCAGAAACCCATGTCTTTCATACGTCTGTGTGTGGTGGTTCTTGAAGCACTCACTCCAGCTGCAGTCCACTCTTTGTGAATCTCCCCCACATTTTTGAATGGGTTTTGTTTCACAATCCTCTCCAGGGTGCGGTTATCTCTCTTGCTTGTACACTTTTTTCGACCACATCTTTTCCTTCCCTTCGCCTCTCTATTAATGTGCTTGGACACTGAGCTCTGTGAACAGCCAGCCTCTTTAGCGATGACCTTTTGTGTCTTGCCCTCCTTGTGCAAGGTGTCGATGGTCGTCTTTTGGACAACTGTCAAGTCAGCAGTCTTCCCCATGATTGTGTAGCCTATAGAACTAGACTGAAAGACCATTTAAAGGCTTTTGCAGGTGGTTTGAGTTAATTAGCTGATTAGAGTGTGGCACCAGGGGCCATCAATTTTGAACCTTTTCACAATATTCTAATTTTCTGATATGATGAATTTGAGATTTTAATTTGATGTCATTTGTAATCATCAAAATTAAACAAAATAAACATCTGAAATATATGAGTTTGTATGTAATGTATGAATATAATATACAAGTTTCACTTTTTAAATGGAATTACTGAAATCAATCTACTTTTTCATGATATTCTAATTTTATGACCAGCACCTGTAGGTTTAACCATATTCATTTAAGGTGATGCAAATAAGTATTTGAAAACCCTAAAATTTTGCAAGCTCTCCCACTTAGAAACCATGGAGGGATCTGCAGTGGGAGAACTTACAAAATAGAAGGGTGTTCAAATACTTATTTTCCTCCCTGTATATACTGTATGCATAAATAGACAGACAGACAGGTACATAGATAGGTAAATAGATGTCTGTTTGTGTCCCTTTATGTTGCCAGAATTTCCAGAACCTATAATATCATTAGGGTTGTCACGATACTAAACTTTTCAACTCGATACCGATACTAAGGAAAATATTCGATACTTGATACCATTTTCGATACCACAAGGATAAAAACAAAGACTCCAAAGGTCTACAGAAATATTTTCATTAATAAATAAAATACAATAAATAAATATAATAAAGGTTGTATGCTGTGCATAATATTAAGCAAGCTTGATAAAAAACTCAAATTCAAATTAAGTGTTCCTTCCTTGGCTATGCTTTGCACACATAACAATGACACTAGCCAAACCAGTTAAGAAACAAAAATAATTCTCAGCAGCTGCACCTGTTACAAAAAAAAAAAAGTCTGAAACTGAAAAGTGCAGAGAATTATTCAATCACAGTGTTCAGAAAGGGCATTTTCCTCTATTCTGCACTTTAGATGAATGACTGCTTAGGTGCCACTGGTGACGACACTGTATCGATACTTTTAAAAACGAGTATTGTATCCGGATACAACATTTCAGTATCAATACTTTTTTGAGTTTCGATACTTTTGACAACCCTAAATACCATGGATGGATTATCTACAACCACTGAAGTTTGTGCTGTGTTACTTTGTATTGAGAAGTTAGAAGCAAATACTTAAAAGTTCTATAGATTGAATTGGACAGATGTGTGATTGAGATGTGATCTTGGCAGTTTTGAGCACAAGCCAACACCTCAAACTTTGTTTTTTTATTTTGGAATTGCCTACCAAAAGATGCCAAGAGATCATGTATAACTCTTTATGTTATCTATAAAAACTATTTCATGGTCTGCAACAATTAAGTTGGTGGTATGTGTGAAAGTAACTTCCATTAACAAGGGCAGGTCTGGTTTCTAAGCCAGAACCTTGCCCAAAGCATAACATTACCTCCACTGGTTTACCTTCTTTCCATAGTGCATACTGGTGCCTTGTGCTCTTCAAGTATGAGACACACCAGTACATCCACATGGTTTAAAAGGAAATGTTAAACACTAGCATCATATGTAACAAACCGCAGTGTTCTGTGTATTCCTCGCCAAATTGATATCAACTACTAACCATACAGGTCAGCTTTAGCACCTCAGATAAAACCAGTTGTTAATATACTGACCAGAGATTGGGGGAGATAGCAGACATACCCTTTAAGAGCCTTTATTCTGGATATACTTTGAGTACAACTTGTTTAGCTTACTGCCAGAGTAAACTGTGTGTTTAATACAATGTTTGAGCTCTATAACTGACAAAGAAGGTACTGTAATTGAAAGATTATACTGTGGTTAAATAGTATTGAGACTGAATTCATCCTATTTCATTACCCACATATCTGTGTTTTTCAGAATCCCTATCAGTAGGGCGCCAACCTCTTAGCGTTGCCAGGCAGTCCAGAGACAGAGCATCAGTGAGTATAACAAAAAACACGTCTGACATAATATTTGGCATAAAAATCAGCAAGCTGAACATATAAAGTTTGAGAAACACAGCTACTAAATAACAATGGAAACAAACTATATTGAATGATGATAATATATTGGAAAGGTGCTTTGCTTGAGGTCAGAGTAATGAAAAAGACATTACCTTATTTTCTGAAACAATTACAAAGGGAGTTCATCACAGCTTGTCCCATCAGGATGCCATTATTTTTAGGAAATTGTCACAAAGTAAAAAAATACATTTTCAACCTTGTAATATTTAATGCACCATGTCAGAGACCTCTAAAATCGTTGGTTAAATGGATACTTTTTAGACTCAGACAGAGATATTTTGTCATTTTATACACACAGGTGTAAAGAAAGAGATATTTCTTTAAGTACAGCTCTCTAGACTACTTCATTTTTTAAAGTGCAGCCTTGATAAAGGTAAGCAGGAGTGATAAAGTGATGTAAACATATGACTGTACAGTTACAGTTCCAACATTTAACATTTCATTACAATTTGCATATATATATATATATATATATATATATATATATATATATATATATATATATATATATATATATATATATATATATATATATATATATATATGTGTGTGTGTGTGTGTGTGTGTGTGTACTGTAAATTGGGGGCCCTCGGCAGAGCCGAGTCAGCTAGAGAAGCAAAGAGACTGGTTAGCAATAACGTCCTGCATAAAAGAAAGAAAGAAAGAAAGAAAGAAAGAAATCTATCATCTATCTATCTATCTATCTATCTATCTATCTATCTATCTATCTATCTATCTATCTATCTATCTATCTATCTATCTATATCTATCTTTAATTACTTTGTATCTCCAGTTAGTCCCATACGAGCGTCTCATACGAGCAATAATATGTGGTTTTGAAGAAGTTGTGGAGATAGATCTGTTTTGAATGTGTATTATACTGACTGGGTGTAAAGTCACCCTGTGACATTTCACAATCGTCCAGTGTGGTCGTGACTCCAGTTTCCTCCTCCACCGTGCTAATGATAGTTATTTTGTCTAGAATAACAGAATTTCTACATTCTGGAAATGTCATGTCATTTACAGCATACTGTAAATGTCTTCTAATACATCTATTAGTGTGTGGTGGGTTATCGTTTGCCAGAGCTGGAAGTAATGTTCTGTCCTCCACCTTTCCATGTTTGTTGATCAGTTGAGTGTTATAAAGTGCTTTCAAAATCACTTTTATCACACTTTAGTATCTGTCATATTAGAATTACTTATTTCATTGTATTTTGCTTGAATTTAATGTGAAAACCAATAGAAAGTAGCACGTAATTTTATTATAAAAAAGGAGAAGTGATTGTATGTTTGTATGTTTAAAAATAGATGCCAATACACATTTTTTATCCCCCTTTATTCTGATTTCCCTAAATAAAGCCAGTCATCTTATGTAATATGAATTACAATAATTGTCAAAGATAATGGTTGACCACATAGATATTAAATTATTCATCAGGGAAATAGATAAACCCATGACATCAAGTTTGATTATTATTCATGTTAAACTGCTTTCATTTTCACCATCCCTTTGTCACTGTGTTATTTATATTAACATTCTGGGTCACATCCTTGTTCCTTCTTAGCCTTGTGCTAATAATTTGCCAGTTATAAAGATCAAGATCTAGATATGCTGATAATCTTTCTCACTAGAAAGACCACACAGCGCAACATAATCATAGAAATGTACTGTACAGATAGGAGGAACATCATTTGGTAGGGTATTTGTAAAGTACAGTACAAATATGTTTTATATTTACTAGCTGTGATCAATCACAATATATTATCTATGAATTTTCCAGAGCTACTGTCATAAAGCTTTCAGATGTATCCCTGCTCAAGGAAAACTTGAATAAAATGAATTGGGCACTGTCTTGCATTAGCTAAACTTCATGACTGAAGGATGAGTGAAGAAGTCATTCAGTTCTTTATTTCAACTATGTTGGAGCATGGATGCATCTAAAGGTTGCAGGACAGTAGCGCTCAAGGGCCATAGTTAGTCATTTCTGATCCAAGCTGATATATTTTGGGTGAATGAATGACTGTTTTCCATCAGGATGGAGGGTCACGGAGTCCGGTAAAAAGATACTCTGTTCCACGGCATGCCTCTGTCCTGGGTCGCCTTGGCTACAATGAACACGAGGAAAGTTCTACCTCCATTACGAGCTCCGGATCAACTGCTCCCCGCAGACCCACATGTAGGCTGCTCATTTAACTTGGGTTTCTAGCAGTTGAAGAAAAGCTGTTTGTCATCATACTAATGTGATTATTTAGGTTTAACTGTATCTTCAAAACACTTTCCTAAAAGGTAAAAACTATTACCAATGTGGAAAAAAATCCACATATGTTCTGCTCAGATAGAGGGTTCTCTTTGGCCAATACAAATTTTTGTTTACTTTAATGGAAAACTAAAAAATTTCTGTCTAATGATATAAATGTATTGATCTAAACTTCATTTTAAAATAACAGATAAGTTACAGTAAATTAACATAACATACTTAAACACCCATGCTGACAGTGACATACAAAGATACATAGGCTAATAAAAATATAAATCCATCATTAGATTCCAACACACCTGACATGGTTCAGTAAGTTTGATCTCCATAACTTTGATCTCCCAGGTACCACATGTAAAACGCATCCATTAGACTGTGCTATGGAAGTAATACAGCTGGTATTCAAACATAACAGCATAACCCAACAACATGTTTTAATCTCATGCTACACTTAACATACCCTCCATCTGCACTGATGAGGATTTACTCACTGCTTAGTCCCAAAATTTTGAGCAAAGACTGACTTTACTATTATTTGGCTAAAATAGCTGAACATATTTTCTGATAAACCCAGTTAATAGAATTTGACTATTTGACGGCATCCATGCAGCATTGAACTTTTATCCAATGTTACCAGTCTACCCTTAAATTTGTAGAGAAAACCAAGATGGCGATGTCACACTAAAAGCGTAATACTTTCTGTTGACACAGCGATACTTGTCTAAACCTATCACCTTCAATTATACAGGCTTTCTCAAGCAGCTTTAAAGACATGGTATATAATTGATTTATTCACTTTTAGACATTTCTTTTCTATAGGGAATCCGACATAGTATGTTATGAAACATTAGCTTAACCTTATTTCATAGAGGAAGTCGTTTTCAAACAGTATAAAAAAAATATTCGTTACAAAATAATATTTTTTATTGGTTTTTTTTATTGGTTTTCTATTGGTTACAAAAAATATTTTTTTGAATAGAAGTAATTGGGATTTTTTTGGTTACACTCTTTTTTAACTTGGCAAAATAACAATATTTTTCCATACCTGGCAATCATTGATCTTAGCCACTGAAAAGAATTTAGTCACTTTCTAGAGATTGTTCAGTTTGTATTGATTATTATATCTTAGGGTATACTGTATTATTTAGTGATACAACCCTAATTACCCTTGATGTGAATTTATTGGCCTGAGGATCCATATAATATTCAGCCCCAGTGTTTAAGATTACAAAGACAGAACATTTAATATAACAACACAACCTTGCTTAAGTTTTTATTTTTCTTTTGCAGCATTTCGCACTGAAATGAGAGCAGAGCATAGGATAGGACGAGCTCCTAGTATGACAGGTATGATGTGATATCAAATATTTACTGCAAGAGCACTGAAGTGATAGATTGTAGTTGTATTTAGTTATTCAATAGCATTACTCAGAGTTACAAGTCATCTCTTTGTTGTCTTCACCTCATCTGTTGTAACTATTCTCCTCCATCAGTTGCAGAATCTATGCGTTCTCGTTCCGCACGCAGTGGCCATTCCACCCCTCGTACCCCAGGCTCTACAGCCATCACCCCAGGAACCCCTCCTAGCTACTCTTCATCTTCTAGAACCCCTGGGACCCCACGCTCCCTTAGTTTGATCTCCCAGGAGAGGAAAGTGGCAGTGGTCCGCACACCACCAAAGTCACCTGCAACCACTCCTAAGCAGCTGCGCATCATCAACCAGCCACTGCCCGACTTCAAGAATGTCAAGTCAAAGATCGGCTCAACAGAGAACATCAAGTATCAGCCAAAAGGAGGACAGGTGACATGTCATATCTTACAATTTTGGCTTCAAAAACTTAAAGCCGGTCTTTCTTCTTTCATCACAGCATCTCTACTTTCCACCCTTAAACAAATAGTTTTGTTCTTTTAGAATGTGTATTATAATTTCATTGTCATTCAGACATTTAAGACAAAACTAATATACTATATTGGTTTCATATCCATTTCACATGCATAGACTTAAAGTTTGTGCTGCTTAAAAAAAAACTTCAGTATAGTATTTAAATGTTTATGAATCAGTTATGATACTTACTGTGGCTGAAATTCATAAAGACTAAGAACTCTTTTAAAATCCACTCAACTTCAATACATTTTTACAAATTGACAAAATCTGATAATCAATTTACCGTATTTTCTGCACTATAAGGTGCACCAAAAAGCCTTTTTCTCAAAAACTGAGAGTGGGCCTTATAATCCTGTGTGCCTTATGTATGGATCAAAATAAAGCTTCATCAGATCTCGCAACTACAGGGAGCAGCCACCGACTCCATTTTCTCCCATAGAAGAAGTAGCACGTGGCGCATACTAGGAATTTTCATTTCCATGTGTGTGTGTGTGTCTGTGTGTGTTAAGACCCCATAATGGCTCCTTTCAAGAGACAGATGTACAATGCAGAGTTTAAGCTCAGTGCTATCAATGAAAGCTAATACATAGCATTTAAAAGGAAATTAAAACTCTACCAGGAATAACTGAATAAAAGTGTGTGAGATATTGAAAGACAGAAATGGCTTTTATTTTTAGGATAAAGTCAGATATGGAGGTTTGACCAGTCAGTGTCCTACTTTGGGAAGCCATGAGATCAGTCAAGGATGATTGCACTTTAGACATTCAATCTACGTATCTTTGAAGATATTTTTGCTTTGGTATAAGAGAGCTTCATTTAAAATTCAAAGTTCTCTCGGAAACCTGAATTTAATGTCTGATTTTGCTTGAGGAGTGATGTGAAAAATAAGGTAGAATACATCTCTGAACTTAATATGTGGTCACGTAAGATTAGTATTGACAGCCCTAACAGATGAAAAATTCCTTTATTAGATCTAACCCAATTTTGTTTAAATTTTTTTAGATAACCTTCCCAGCTACCTCTGGCACCTTTCTCTCACCTGAATGATGGTTGATAGACTTGTCAACAGTGGTTGGCATGAGCAGGGAAAGTTGGGAATGGGTGACCCCATTTTTTTGTTCTTTCGGGATAGACTTTTTAACCATGACTAGTGCAGGGAAAGTGTTAACTTCCTCTGTACATTAGTTAGGTGGGGATCAGTCTACCAATCAGATAAGGACTTTGAGATACCATGAGTTTAGTCAAATATGATCATTCCTTACACCACAGGTGTAAAACTGTTCCAGAAAGGGCTGTGAGGCTGCTGGTCTTCTTTCCAACTGAGCAATAGAACACCAGAATCCAGTCATATCATCAAGTCATCATGTTAAGACTGGACTCACTTGATGAGATGACTGGAGTCTGCTGGGTTGGGAAAAAAAAGAAAATACATCCACACGGCCCTCTCAAAAACCAGTTTAACACCCCGGGGCTTAACACTGTCAATCTATTTTCAAAGATGTCCTTCTAGGAAAGAATCATTTCTGTAAGCTTCTTAAATATAGATGAATAAACATAATACCTATTGAAAAAAAAATCTTACATATTTTATACTCATATTTAATGTTTCATTTTAACCCACGAAAAAGCTTATGGAATTTCTAAAGAACACAAAATACGATTTAAACCTTGAACACATTTTTGCTCAATCTCAATGAAGAAAATGTTTTAGAAATCATGTCCTCAGGCTTTCTAATAGAAAAAGAAAACAACAGTAACCCAGCAAGACCATAAACCTATATTTTAAAAATAACATTTAGGGTATCCTATAAAAAAACAGTTATGTAAATAATTTTTACATCGAAATGGTGTTTGCTTTGTTACAATTGTGTCCCCTGTTTGGTATGCAGTTTGGTTTTGTGTTTATCGATAATACAACAACACCAACAAGTACATGTGACAGCGATGCAGTTCAAATTATGTTTTATTCTCAGCAGTTTTTTTTTTCTACTTTCCTTTTGTCTTGTCATGAATAGTCTTATTGCTCTGTTTTCTAATTGTGTGCCCACTTGGTCTTGTTTTGTGCGAAGGAGATAGGTTTGCAAAAAATCTAGGGAACCTCAAAAGTATCTATCGTACCCTTTAATATAAAAAAGTAAAAAAAAAAAAACATAACTCTAATGAACTACCATCTTGGTAGCCTAAGTTAAGCATGTTTGTTTCAAGCACATTCATGTTTCTGTCATTATTCCTAAGATGGAAGATTAAAAAACTAATTATTTCAGAAATAATTTTTGCCATTTTACTGGGGAGGCAAACTAAGAGCATTCAGGCCTGATGTTTTCCTCCAGGCTTTGCATGGAAGGTCAGCATCAACATTCTTCAGCATTTAAATCCTGTTTTCTGTTATTGTGGAAAATGTGCAGGTTTGTCAATATATCATTTTCAGCTTTAAACCGGAAACCAAGAAGCAGTCCTGCAGCATCACCCATGGTGATGGAAACAGCAGGGTGTTGGTAGCTATCAGCTCTTACAAGCCTGCACTGATGACCTGATTAAGAGTCGAAGCATTTTGCCTATAAGATTATGACTTTGGAGGCTTGATCTGGATTTGTTTACATGTTCCTCTGCGTATGAAGGCATTATTGGTTAGAATTTGTGACAATGTCATTTTTCCTACCACTAACATCTATTTACATCATTGCTTCCAAGATGGAGGAGTTTTGGCAGTTTTTAGTCCAATGGTGTTACAATGTGATACAGATTGCAAAATAAACTCTGTAGGAGTTATGTCCAGACCTGATGAGAACAGCATATTTCTGAAGGGCTCATTTCCATTTACACAGAAATAGTTGTGTATCTTTTCCTGCCTTATTACTTAAGGATGGCAGCTTTTGGGGAACAGTGGAAAAAGTTATGATATCCTAACCTTTTTAGTGCTGCATACTGTCGTACAGCAAAGGCAACGCTAAATATGTTCTTGAGGACATCCATTTTATATTTATTTATTTATTTATTTATTTATATTCTGATATGTTTTCTTGATGTTGAAAACAAGATGAAAAATACTATTTCTAAATTCACTTTTTCTGTCATCGTTGGAGCAAAGCATGAAGTATTTTTATACAAAGCCACTCAATGACATATTATATCCTTAATTATGTGTTAATTGATTTATATTTATTGTCAAATAAAGCTTTCTTTGTGTTGATGGTAAATAATTATGATCAGGATAACCTATGTATTTTAGATATTGAAAAAAGTCTCACCATTCTGTCCATCTAAATTTTGATTTTTATTTAGTTTTTTTTCAGTACTGTAATTAGCAGCTACCACCCTTTGTGTTATAAAGATTGTTACCTACACCAGCATTCCCTTCGCATAATTTTTAGATACCAATATTTCTATTTTCCAACAGGTGTAACCTAGTTTAAAGGTTTTCATGCTTAATTTCAGGTAAAAGTTGGAAACTCAAAAGGATAAGGGAAATAAAAGTCTGTAAAAGTCCACCTTTTTTTTCATAATTACCAAAACTATGACAGTCAGGCATTACGCCTCCTATCAATTATTTGTTTAAAACTCAAATTTAAATACAAGGTGTTTGAAGTTGTACTTTTAACTCTAAAATATCTAAACACAAGATGATTTGCCAGTTTGAGCCTGTTTAAAGACTGACTTGCACAAGCTCCAGTCATATCAGGTAATGAGCTCAGTTTAGAAAATACATTGACTGACAGCTGAGAAGCAAGATTTCAACATGTGTTTTAGTATTTAAGTGTAGAGAATGAATTTCTCTGTAAATACACATTTCAGAAACAAAATAAATAGAAAATATAACTTGCATCAACATGATTGTGCTACTTATATTATGTATGCACTAGTTCTCTTTAGGCAGATACACATTCTTGGTGATTATATGATTTTATACCAAATTTTCATTTTACCAGACTAGACATCAGTGTTCAGTAATGTAACTGACCGCCTGAGGTAACGTCATAAATTCGCAGAGCTTCTCCTAGCTCATCACTGACTTCCACCGAGCCGCTGACCTGTAAACTGAACAAGACATGCCATCAGCAGCAAATCGCAGAAGCTCTTTGCTCTGCCAGTGCTACGCTTTATCTTTTTTACTCTTTGTTGACAACAAAGTGTGTGACCTGAGCCCACAGCCTGCTGGTATCATCACTCATCTTGTCTTTTTTCTGTCTCTCTCTATCAGACGTAGTAAAAGGGCTTATTTTGATTGCTTAGACCCAAATCGTTAATCACTGCAGATGAATTTAGTCAAAAATGAAATAAATCAGAGTGAGCCCCAAATCTTTTAAAACTGCTGCAGTTCAGTATTTGAGCTTTGTATCAGAAATATTTGGATCATTCCTTTTTCCACGTAAACAGTCGATATTGTATTTTTCTGTGTTAAGAGGCAGAACATGAACATAATGTGACTTATTCTTAACTAGTGCTGGGTCACTTAAAAATGTACTTACCGGTAGTTATGGTTACTTCTCCAAAAAAGTAACCAAGTTAGTAACTCAGTTACCGCTCAGTCAAAGTAACTAGTTACTAGCCAAAGTAAATATGCCATTCCTTTTTATGTTTTGAAATGTGGAAGAATTTGGAAAACTTTCTTGTTATTGGAATTTCAAATACTTAATACTATAATATACCTGTCATACTTAATACTATAATACTTATTCTTAATACTATAATTTTTGGGGTATAATGAGTCTTTTATTGATTAATCAATGAAATAGTTAATTTAAAGGTCTACATCTCTGAGAACATTGGAAACTAATCTACACTATTTTGGTCTGAGTGGTTTGACAAGTGAGATACAATATTATTTTTTAGATGTTATGATATTTAATGTTTTAGAACTTACTTTTTTTGCACGTTGACAGCCTTCAGTTGGCTATAAAATATGTATGAAGCTGAAAAAGAATGCCTTTTAAGCAATTTAAGGAAAATAAAATATACTTTGCAATAGAATTTATCAGGGGTTACAATATTCAAGGGAAAAAAGAAACCCTTGCAGGACTGTATGATCCCAGTATTTTTCTGAAAAAGCAAATTATATAAATATGTTAGAATAGTCTGGATGTAAATGTAACATTCTGGAGGCAATACTTAATAACAGATTGCCACAAAAACTCTTCATTTAATTACCCCAGACAAAAGAAATGTCCTGTCATATCTTGTAAAAACTTGTAGAAGCCCTGATACCAAAGGTTGGTTCTACAATGGATTAAAAAATGCAGACTAAATAAAAATGCATGAAACACTTCTCAAATTTTCACTGTAAAAGTATGACCACCATGCAGACATACACTATATTGCCAAAAGTATTTGCTCACCTGCCTTGACTCACATATGAGCTTAAGTGACATCCCGTTCCTAATCCATAGGGTTCAATATGACGTCGGTCCACCCTTTGCAGCTAGAACAGCTTCAACTCTTCTGGGAAGGCTGTCCACAAGGTTTAGGAGTGTGTTTATGGGAATTTTTGACCATTCTTCCAGAAGCGCATTTGTGAGGTCGCACACTGATGTTGGACGAGAAGGCCTGGCTCTCAGTCTCCGCTCTAATTCATCCCAAAGGTGTTCTATCGGGTTGAGGTCAGGACTCTGTGCAGGCCAGTCAAGTTCATCCACACCAGACTCTGTCATCCATGTCTTTATGGACCTTGCTTTGTGCACTGGTGCACAGTCATGTTGGAAGAGGAAGGGGCCAGCTCCAAACTGTTCCCACAAAGTTGGGAGCATGGAATTGTCCAAAATGTCTTGGTATGCTGAAGCATTCAGAGTTCCTTTCCTTGGAACTAAGGGGCCAAGCCCAGCTCCTGAAAAACAACCCCACACCATAATCCCCCCTCCACCAAACTTTACACTTGGCACAATGCAGTCAGACAAGTACCGTTCTCCTGGCAACCGCCAAACCCAGACCCGTCCATCAGATTGCCAGATGGAGAAGCGCGATTCGTCACTCCAGAGAACGCGTCTCCACTGCTCTAGAGTCCAGTGGCGGCGTGCTTTACACCACCGCATCCGACGCTTTGCATTGCACTTGGTGATGTATGGCTTGGATGCAGCTGCTCGACCATGGAAACCCATTCCATGAAGCTCTCTGCGCACTGTTCTTGAGCTAATCTGAAGGCCACATGAAGTTTGGAGGTCTGTAGTGATTGACTCTGCAGAAAGTTGGCGACCTCTTCGCACTATGCGCTTCAGCATCCGCTGACCCCGCTCCGTCAGTTTACGTGGCCTACCACTTCGTGGCTGAGTTGCTGTCGTTCCCAAACACTTCCATTTTCTTATAATACAGCTGACAGTTGACTGTGGAATATTTAGGAGCGAGGAAATTTCACGACTGGATTTGTAGCACAGGTGGCATCCTATCACAGTTCCACGCTGGAATTCACTGAGCTCCTGAGAGCGACCCATTCTTTCACAAATGTTTGTAAAAACAGTCTGCATGCCTAGGTGCTTGAATTTATACACCTGTGGCCATGGAAGTGATTGGAACACCTGATTCCAATAATTTGGATGGGTGAGCAAATACTTTTGGCAATATAGTGTATATTTCACACCATGATACTTTCTTTTCTGTGTAAAAAAAAAAAAGACTGCAGTACGGAAAGAGAAATATAAGGAACGGTTTTCCTTTCTCCCAGTTTAGAACTGAAAGACTTTTTCTTTCTTTCTCACCAATATTTGGAAGAAAAAAGCATGGGGAAAAAAAAAAAAAAACATAATGTACACTTGTTCTGTAAATCATGCTCTACAGAGACACGATTTATAAATAGGTTTAGGAAAATGTGTTTCAAAATATATCTCAAAATACAATCTTAAGCTGACATAAAAGGTATTTTACCTCTTATGCCACCTTTTCCATGACAAAGCTGGATATAAAAAAGTTCCATTAATATAATAAATACATTTTTTATAACATATTTTAAATATGAATGGAAAATGGCAGTATTTATGCATTTGAGAGTTGTGTTCAACATGTAACCAAACCTGTTATCAAAAGTTATTAGCTTGATGCAGGGAGTGGAAAAACACTGAAGCAGGTGACACAAATAAAATTGTATAATTAAGCTTTTAGGTACAAAAGTCTTTCCAGCCTCGACTGAGTGTGGCACTAAATAATCCAATGCTGTTACTCATACGTATTACAAGAATAAAACAAAGAGAACACTTGTATTCACTACTACAGTATAACCCAGTATTTCCCAAACATCAATTAAATCATTATATTCTATGGCTCACATTCTTCTCTTAAAGTAATTTTAAAAATAGCCCATTAGTATTTAGTTGTTTGACTCACTGACCTTTTCTTAAAAAACAATTAGATGTAACTTTTTAGGTTCTTAGGTATTTTTAAGCAGTTTGCACAAAGAGATGGAATGAATCAGCTCATGGTAGATACCTTACTGTACTCAAGTTTATCTTCAACAATTTGGGAATTTCCATGGTTATTATGCCAGGTTCAAAGCTGACCGGCCGGTTGTTGATCTCTATCATATTTTCCTTGCCTAAATCAACTAGGAATGCATTTGCTTATTGATTTATTTCTGTTTACAATTGCTGCATGAAATGTCTGTATCTTTATTGTTAATTTGCGCTAAGGAAGTCGAATACGTCAGCATCTCACTCCTGCTTTTCTCCTTGCAGCTGCTGAGCCATTCATCGTTACACTCATATTTGTTATCTTTAGTTTTTTCTTTTTTTGGGAGGTAGGGGGGGTGTTACCATAAGTTCAAGAATGCCAGCCATCAATGAATTAATTAATTTGAGAAACACCTGGACACTTAATCTATTTAATACCTTTAAACTTTGGTCTCAGTAGATAAGTTGTCTGTAATTTACTCTGGTTGGTATTTTTAGACTCTTCTGAAGAATCTGCCATTGCTGCCACAATCAAGTTGAAAATGTTGCACATAAAAACAAGTATTGCCTTACAGTTTAGGCCTCCCATTATCTGTGTATGAAGCCTTCAGTACTTGAAAGATCCCAAATTGAGTCAGAGCTTTTGTCAGTTAGCTGATTTGAGTCTAGTGCTTTAAATCTTTTTTGTAGTATTTATTTAATTTAGGAGAGTCCTTTGCTGTGCTTTTCCTCCAAGTAGAGTGGTGTTTAGTAAAATTCTGGTTATAGGCAGTAAGCAAACTCTGACTTCCAATGCTTCAGTCAAAGAAGCAGGACTAGGTGATGCAAACTTTTAACAAGATTTGCTTAAGAGTCAAAGGATTGTTCCACTTCATTCCCCGCCTCCCCCCTGCAGGTCTTCATCCCCACTGTTAAACTGGACTATAGCCATGTTCAGTCTAGGTGTGGGTCCTTGGACAGGCGGGGCCACTCAGCAGGAGGTGGACACGTGAGTCTTGTCCTGCAAACCATTCTCAGTGCTACATTGTCAGTGCTGTTTGCCTTTTGTTCTGTGTTGTGTTGTGCTTTTTTGCAGTGTTCCTACTTTCTTTTTTTCAACGTATTAAATATTTTATTGATCTGACTTTTGATCATTCACACAGCAGCGGAGGTCTGTGCTAATTTGATTCTCTTTTATTTTAAGTTTTATACTGTAAATTTTTTTAAAGAATTATTTTAGGTTCATTCTTTCATTAGGAAAATAAATCATGTTATTAGGTAATTATTAAAACAACAATACATATGGTAATTATTTGCCACATGTATCAGTAGCTATTTTGTTACTTATGATTTCCTAAAAATAGCTTTTCCTATTTTTTTCTTGTGTATAGTTAGTCCAGTGTAGAACTATAGTAATGGAATTAAAAATGTATTTATTTATTTTAATCCGTATAGACATCTTTATTACGGTTACCAAATACGACCACCGCTTTGTTTAAGATGTGTCTTTAATTTTGGAAAGGCATTTCCAAAGGTTCAAGAACTCAAAAGATTATATGAAGTGTATTTTATCAAATATGGTTTAATAATAAAGGTTTTCTTTTTGATCATACCCCTTTATGTAAGACTTTTACAATTACACATTACAAGTTAAATATAACGGAATTCATTAAACACTTGATTAAATCTAATTGGCACCATGTACTGTAGAGGAAACAGGTTAGAAGTTTAATCCTAATCTGTGGTTTTCTGGTTTGACTGATGCTCATTATAAGCACACCATAACACAAGACAATGAGACTAATAAAGGTTCTGCTAACTTTATACCTCTTAATTTAATCCCTTTATAACAAATGTAATTTTATTTAGTGAAATCAAGTATTCAGCAAGAAATGATTCACATATCTTGGCAAACAGCTTTGCTTAAACAACACTGCCTGTGGCTAAAAGCATTCATAGCTGCTCATAAAACCATGTTGAAGTTAATTACTTTTTAACTGAAATATTTTCTTAACAAAGTCACTTTGAGACTATTGTTTTTTGCTTTGTTCCCAATTTAGCGACTGTTACTGTAATTATACTAATGTTAAGCCTTTTGGTGATACGACTTAAACAAAAACATAGCAAATTAAGATAAATTAAGGTTCGAAAAGCTATATTTGAAAATATATTTTAAAATGTTAGAGTAACAAAAATAAGAGCTCAAGAAAACTGATGCATGCCATTATTATAGTAAGATGTTTTATATAAATTTCCACCTCCCATGATTTAAGCAAAGAAAACATAGGAAAATGGGGGCATGGTCCGTGATCTAGGATTTTCTAGATGTCCTAAAACTCAGTATGTTTTAAAACTGCAGAATCTTTGGAGTAGTTTACACAACTTTAGAGTTGATGTTTGTTTTTTGGATTGAAAGATGTGATTTCAAATGAAATCTGGGACAAATAAAGAGCTGAAGGACGCCTTCTAACACTTGCACAAAGCACAATACCTTTATGGAGTTTGTCTTCACATGTATGGTACTGGCAGAAGCTCCTACAGCTGTCTGCATGGTCCGATATTCATTGTTTATTGTCTTATTTTTGTTGACACGTGTATAACAATGCTTCTTTACTCTGGATTAATCATTGGAAAACTGGAACCTTACATGTCTGAGTGATTCATTTCAGCATGTGATGTTTCTCTTCTTACCCATTGTGCTGTGTTTATAAAGCTTTATTGCTCCTCTCTGTTTGCTGTCTCACTCACTAAAAGGGATATTCACCATGACTGGAATTTGATCCAGAATCTGTGGAGAGAGTAGAAGATAAATGGGTTGGAAAGATGCTCTCAAACCTTAAACACTTAGAGCTCAGTGCAAAAGACATATGGTCAGGAATACCAGTGGAGTTCAAAATGTTTGCCAATAAAGACATTTTTAGTGGTTGTTGATTGTTTTTGTTGATTGTTATTTTAAACAGCTGTTTATTTCCATTTCGTTTTTAAATGAGATTTGCTTTTCGTAGTTTTTATTTACGGTAATCACCTATTACTTGCTTAAGAATCACAATTGTTTGCGGAATTAGAAAAAAAAAACATTAAATGTAATACTTGCTGGGAGAAAGAATAAAGATTGTCTTAACTGAAACTGTTGTGGTACTACAGACATTTTAGAGCACTGTGCCAAAAAAAAAGAAACACAAAACATGAATACTCTCATTACGAGCCTGTTTATTAAAATTCCTTTACCAAGAAAATTCATGAAAGAATTAGAAATTGTGGATAAAACCAGTTTCTTTTATAACTCAGATAATGAAAGAATACCTTTTTTCCCTAGCATTTGGAATCTCATGCTTATCTCTAAGAGCTGAATTTTCTTTTCCCAACTTTGCCTCTTTCAGATACAAATACAGAACAAGAAGATTGACTTGAGCCATGTGACCTCCAAATGTGGTTCTCTTGACAACATCCATCATCGGCCAGGTATAAAGCTCTATACACAGCTGGTGTTGCAGAGGGAGACTGGGCTATGATGTCTATGACAGCTGCTGTGGGTTTTCTGTGCAGCCTTGATCCTTAGTACACAGCATCCTCAGCACTAATTTGAACTCTTCATTGCCACTTAAACATCTTTGAAGTTTATTCATCACTTTTTTCACAGTTTTGTTCACCTTGGTGTCCAGTATGTCGTCCATTGACGTGACATATATTCTGTTTGTCTGTCCAGCTGCTTTGTCACCAGATGGCAATATCCATTTTGTCCCAAAAAGAAACACCCCTTACTGTACATCAAGAACCGCACCCCGCCCCTTCCTCCTACAAACATTGTTGGATTTTTAAACAGGAATGCATTGTTGTTATAGCTTGTGTAATGTAATGCAACAGATAAAGCCAATATGACGTTGTGCTCATCATAGTTCTTCCTTTGCAAAGCTCTTGGCCTTGAAATAACGTCACTTGACTCTCTATTAGAAAAGTGCAGCAAACGACAGTGTGTTCGGCTCACAGGGTTTCCATAACCAGTAAATGCCATCATACTGTATCAGCCAGTTAGACAGGTATACCAACAAAAAGGTCCAATCACTGATATAAATCTTTTTAGTTTACTGAATGAATTTGGGCGTTTTCATTGAAACCATGAATTGTAGTTGTAAAGTAAAGACGGATACTGCAATCTACCAGATAGATGACAATCTGTTATTATTTCACCCTTTCCTGGGAGAGGGACTCAAAACTCTTATCAAACTGAGGAAGAAATAAGTAATCAGACAAAAATCTGCCTTTCTCCATTATCATAGCAAGTCAACTAAAATCCAATATAAAACCTCTGGGACAATATAGAGAGATTGATCAGAGAAAATGGGGAATTGAATATGTTATTCTAGATGATTTACTTATCAAACGTTTTTTTTTATTTGTTTTTTGTTTTGTTTTTTAGGACATTGTTGATTTTTTTAGCTTGTATAAATCCCTGAAAGTCCCATTAATCACTCTTTGCTGCTGAGCTCTTTGTTGTCCCAGTGCACTCAAAGAATAGAAGTTGAACTGAGCCATGAACTTAGTTTGGATTGACAGCTTGATAAATCTGTCCACAGGCAGTGAACTGTAGGAGGGGCTTTTTGGTCCCTGGAAAACATTGCTGCAGCTGCCTTGACCCTAACTAGAAAACCAACCTGAGTTTGAAACAACATTCTATGACCTGCGTTGAATCCAATCGGGGTCAGATTAAAAAAAAGATGTTTAAGTCTTAATAATTCTAATCCCCATAGATAAAGTCACGTCAAGAAAGTCAGTCTGTAAGCAAGCATTTTTTTTTCATTGCAAGATGCAGAAATGAATGAGAAAGTTATCAAGCTTTTCTTGCATAGTTGGAAGTCTATAAAAAAAAGGAAAATAAAATAAAGTATAATATATGGTCGATTACTCTACCCTTTTCTGACTGCTGCCTCCAGACGGTTTCAGTCGCGGTTCCAGGTTGCTAATCTGGATCTCTGGAAGAATTTATAGATGCTAAACACTGTATGCAGTTCTTACATACAAAACTGCTGCTCACTGCTACTCTGTCACATATTATCTTCCTGCTGTCTTGCCTTTACAGTATACTTGTTAACCTTTATTTTTTTAGGACATTCTCTGCATTCAGGTTCCTCCCAACTATTAACCACAATGCTAATTCCAAACACACAAGTAATTATACCCCTTGAGCTAATTTCTCTTTTTACATGCTGTAAACAAAACCTGCGGTTTACTACATGTGGACCAAGAACAGATTGCAAGTGCAAAGGAGAATTTGGGTTTCATAATCTGTGCAAAAATAAAATCTGGAAAGTCTAGTTTCTTTTCAGACTCCTCTTCACACGCAATTTAATGTTGCAAATATATGAAGGGTCCAAATGTATTCTAAAAAATTATTATTTTTTTGCCAGTTAGTTAAGGCTCTGTTAAATTAGAGGTAAAGTGTCAAAGAGCTTCAGTTTTCTTGTCTTGCTACTGTATAGATTCTCATTTGGATCATGGTCTTGGGTTTGACTGAGCCGTTCTAACGAGTGGTTATGCTTTTATCCAAGTATTCTAATGTGGCCCCCCTGTGTTTTCAGAATGATGTTGTCAATGGGATATCCTGCCTTTCGTTATCATCTTTTAATTTCTTCATGATGCACTGTTTTTTTTTTTAATCATCCAATCTTTCCCTGCTTGTCTTCAGGAGGTGGTAATGTGCGAATCGAGAGTGTGAAGCTGGATTTTAAAGACAAAGCTCAAGCCAAGGTGGGTTCACTGGAGAATGCACATCACATTCCTGGTGGAGGGCACATTATGGTGAGTCTCTAATTGAATCATTCAAGAAGAGACATCAGATTTCTACAAAGTTCTGTTTTGATTGATTCATCACACATCATAGCGTCTTCTCAGTGTTTAATCAAGGCTAATGAGTAGAGAGCATCTGGATAAGTTTTACGATGTAATCCAAGAGAATATGTCTTTTATCCATAAACCTGAACAATGCAGACAGAAGGACTGTTGCTTCAATCTTATTCTCATTGTACTCTTAAATCACATGTCCTGCATTTAACAGATTGAGAGCCACAGGTTGACATTTCGCGAGCATGCAAAGGCCCGCGTTGACCACGGAGCTGAAATCATCGTCCAATCCCCTGGTCTGTCAGGCTCTGTCTCTCCCCACCAACAAAAGGGGAGCCAGCTCTCATCCTCTGGCAGTCTCAACATACAGGAGTCTCCACAGTTAGCAACCTTGGCCAAGGATGTCACCGACGCCCTAGCCAAACAGGGTTTGTGAACATTAGATCTCTGGATTGCTGCTCTGCATCCAAGACATCCTCCCTTTTTCAAACTTTTCTGCCCTCAATTGCCATCTTAAAACAAAATGGTCACCGCTGATGCTCAGCAGACAGAGTTCTTAACTTCTTTATCTCAAAATACATCATTACTGATGTACTCACTAAGCTGAGGCTAGATTTAGAAGCTACTGTGTTTTTAGTTCTCTATTTTTAACCCTAAACATGTGTTTTTCCTGATTTCTGTTATGGATATTACTTTATGTTTTGAACAATGTTTTGCATAAAGTTAGACTGGGCATTTGCTCTAGATTAAGTGGTATATCTGTTAACGCTGGCTTTGCAGGTCTTGGATCAGTGTTTTGAAAAAGTGACAGCATTTTTTTCTACTTCACACTAGACATTGTCTGAACACCCCCTTTTTGTTCCTGCTCAGTAAACATGCATGATTATCAGAGCCCCCAACAAGCATTCCTCATTCAGAGACAGCATTTGGACTCAATTCATAAGCTATTTAAGAACAACATTGAGATATCTTTAAAATACAACTTGCTTCCCACACACACCTACACATTTTCAAACGAAGCAAAATAAAATGGCTCTGAGATATTACCTTAAAATGGCATTTATGCAAGAACCACATCGTGTTATAACAAGCATGTATGAATCCACTATGAAAAGAGGCTCTTTTGTATTTAAATAAAAAAAAAATTTTAGTAAATCATTCTTCATTTATTGGATAAAGGTAAACAAGTTCATGTTTTGTAGTTAATAGATGTTTTACAGTGTAAAGCTTGGTGACAATGTCCGAGACTGATCTGGTGTTACTGAGGGAGGCACCTCCGTCCTGTCAACCTTACTCACTTTGACCTGCTCAGTAGATCTTTGTAGTTTCCTGTATAAGAGCTCATTTCGCAAATATTCAACCTAGGAGGAAATTCCTCAAGGAGTATTAGGAAACACCTATAAAATTAGCTGTTTCATTCATCAAAATGATATGCTAATTGATGTCTGATTCACAGAAGAATAGATATTACAGATGATGCCACTACTCAAAATTCTGTGTGTGCTGGGGGTGTGTGTTTGTTGTTTGCGTTTGGTGCAGATCCCTTGCCGTTTTAAGGAGGGATGCCTCTGCATCCAGCTTGTTTGTTGTGATGTGTAGGATAAAGAAATTGTTAAAAGAAAAGAAAAAAAAAACAACTTTTTAAAAGCCTTAAGAAGAAAAATACTCATTGTTGAAAATGTACACTGGGGAGAAAGAACTCAGTCAGCTCCTGTTATATCTGTTTGAACAAAATGTTTGGGTGATCTAGGTTTTTTTTTTTCTTCCTGACACCGTTTGTGGTTTGACCCGCCTCCTGCCTAGCTACTGCCCTCAACTGCAAATGTTTGTTTGCTTCTGTGTTTTTCTGCATTTCCCATTTCCGTGTACCTCTCCTCCCCGGGCCCTGCTCCACCCTGCAGCAACTCTTAATGTATTTAAAAGGTCAAGTAGATGTATGCAGTTTTTCTCCTGTTGATATGACACCAATTATGATGATTAATGACAATAAAAATAACAAAATGTGACATTGATCTTGTTGTTCTGTTTTTATTATCTATCATTGAAGATATCAACGGGAACTCAAAACATCCATCCAACCATTCATTTTCTGTCACGCTTATCCCAACTGGGGTCACGAGGGTTACTGGTGCCCATCTCCAGCTGTCATGGGCGAGAGGCGGGGTACACCCTGGACAGGTCACCAGTCTATCATAGGGCAACACAGGGACACACAGGACAAGAGCTACCCACTGTATCACTCCTCACTGTGCAGCCAATTCAAAACGTGTGTATGGAATTTCTAAGTTCATACATGTAATTCCTTTTAAGCAATCAGTGGAACGGTTTTGGAGTTTCACTCCTGGACAGGACATTTTTGTCATTTTGGTAATATTCCAGGGGTGAAATAAGAAAATTCCAAAATAAATCCAACAAAATCCGATATGAAAGCTTAAAAAAAAACAACTCTCTGGATTTTTCATCCTTTTCAGTTTGACATAAAAATCTACATTTTAAGCATTTTTCTTCTTAAAGTACAGTTAATACCTAGATATCTATAATTGTCTTACAGTAGCTAAGAATTTTCTTATCAAATCCAACATTATTATCCAAATTGATTGTTCCTGTCTAGCTGCAACAATAAACATCATATTCTCTGACGAAGGATGTTAAAACTGGTAATCATTTTTGCTTTATTATTTGCTTTGAATACATGAATAATTTTTTATTTTAAGTCTATTCTCATAGCTTAACAAAGAAGAAAATTTGAGTGTGTTTTTTCAATATTTTTTATTTTAAAAATTCCACTTGGTAATATACTTTGTGGAGGTCTTTTTGTAAGTAAATATATTTCGGTTGGGTATCAAAGTCGAGTATCTGTCTTGCTCACATGAAACACTTGCCAAATTTTAAATTAAATGCCACCAGACACTCTCTGTGAGGATGTGGTATGGCTTTTCCTTTGTGGAAAAACAGTTTTTTTTTATTATTTTGTGCTGTAAATCTGAATGCAAAGAGATTCTGAGATGGGCCACAGTCCACTAACGCCACCCTTTCGTACAGATGAAGGATGGGTTGCTATTCCACAGTTGTCTGTGGCCAGGCTGGAGATCAGCATGAGAAAAAAAAAAATCCAAGGCTGTTCTGGTTGTTTTTGGTTCTTTAACACCCTTGAGGCTCTTGCTTGTTTGGCGAATACATTGTTAAAGTGCCAATTGTTCCTGTCTCTGTAAAATATTGTCATCTAATCCATTAGATTATTCTAAAATAGAGTCAATAGCAAGATATGGTATTTCGCAACTAAAATAAAGGTCATTTTTTTTGTAGCTACAGCTGATATACTTAACTCTGCTGCTATTCTGTCAAATGTATTACCTTTACATGTGAAACTATTTTGTATGTAGGAATTAAAAAGTGGTAAATAGCATTTTTTTTAGTAAAACATAGTTCAAAACCTAACTGTTTTATGTTTGAGTCCAAGTTTAAAAGTTGCAAGTTACTAAAAGAGGATTTTTGTTTTTTTTATAAAAAAAATAAAAAGCCCCCATTTCCTATTTATTTATAATATACAAGTTACAAAGGTAGGTGGAGAATAGAGTCAAATACTCTGGAAAATAATGGGAGTGTGAAAAGTTTATTGTGAAATGGCAGAGAATAGAATAGCTTAAGACTCAGGGATGGATCGAGCAAAAGGTGGATTGATTTTGATGGCCAGACCTGGGCCAAACCTGTCGCTGACATGGCAGCTAGACAGCCAAATAAACAACACTTGGGAGGAAATGGTCATCGGTACTCCACCTCCCCTTCCATCACTGCTCCTCTGTAATAACAAAACCCCAATGAGACCACGGGACCAGGATGAAGATGAAGGAAGAAGCACCTCCTTTGCAATCGTTGCTTTCCAAGTGGCAGGAGGAGAAAGAGACAGAAGGGCGGAAAAAAATAAAATAAAGCACCATTTGGACAAAAGAGAGAAAAAAAAATATGATTTAACAAAACAGGGTTCAAGAAATGACATCTCTTAGTCCATTGTTCCCCCTGCTTCCAAGATGATTCAGGAAACAGCGAGTGGATGTCGCGACACCATGGGGTCTGCACTAGTCGATGTTTACCACCACAGTGGCAGGGTCCTTACACAGACATGACGTGCTTGACAAAGGCTGTAGATGTTGACCAGGGCATTAAACAGAAAGAACAGAGTAGAAAAATTAATGAGGGAAAATATGATCCACATGATATTAGTGATAAACTAGTATATCACATGAAAAACAGAGATCTGCAGCATTTATTATTTAAACAAGGTGACAAAAGGAAAGGGAAAAAAAATGCAAGTAATTCCTTAAGAATTCATTTTATTTTAGTGACCAGCAAAATGAGTTTTCCTCTCCACTGTCCCTACATGCATACTGTACTTGTTGTGAGGTATTGCTTTCGATTCAAAGAGTCGATACAATCAGCTGGTTTTCCTTAGAAAGCTTTGAACCAAAAAGTGCCTTGAGATGACATATGTGGTGAATTGGCACTGAGCCTTTTTGTGTCAATAGTGTACTGTACCTGCAGTAATTCCTGGTACCTCCATTTGATATCTCTTTGCATTACATTCAATCCAAAAATGTCCCTTGCTTTGTTCATTATTTAAGTCCTTTTTACCTTTATTGCCAATGACAAACTCAAAGCAATATAAAGTACAAAAAGTTTTTAGACCCTTTGGTCTCACCACACCTGAGGTAAACTGATAACTTCAGCCTCCAGAACCTGATTTTGATTTATACTAAATGAAGATGTCAAAAAGAGGTACCTTGATATGTAGGATATTAATTACCTGTAACTTTTTAATAGAAACTCACTTCAAAAATCCCAATTTACGCCTCTAAATTAATTTGTAAAGAAGAAAAAAAAAATTATATATATATATATACATATTATCAGAAGAAACTTAAGATGCTTTGGGATAATCATTACAGAATTGGTCGAGTTTTGCATATTCCTATTTTTAATTACTAGTTTAGAGCTGAGAAAACTAGATTAATGTTTGTTGTCATATAAAAAGTTGATATGTGGAGAGTTACAATTTTCTGCTATCAGATGAATAATTTATAGTATATGCTTGAGATTAATTAACAATGGGCTTTATCATATTTATATGGTGCATCTCAGTTTTATGGCGGTAGTATTAGTAATAGAAGTAGTGTTACTGAATTTCTGGCTCACCCTCATAGTTTACACAGCCACTCTCATCTTCCTGTCCTGCCATGAGGGCATCGATTTCTGCCTCATTCATCTTCTCTCCTGCAAAGGGGTCACAGAACACATTCAACATTAAGATATTAGGTTAGTCATACATGCATTGAAAAAAACAGTTTGGACTTACCCAGTGTTGAAAGGACTATGCGCAGCTCAGCGCCCATGACTGTGCCATTGCCCTCCTTGTCAAAGACACGAAGACCCTCAACGTAATCCTCAAATCCAGCCTTATTTGGGCTGTTGATGATGGTCTGAAGCATGGGCAAGAAAGCTTCAAATTCTACTCTCTTGCTGGCCATGTCTGCATAAAAAGAAATAAAAATTAGAACAACAAACATTTTAATAGTGCATCTCAAACAGAACAAACTTATATATTAATACTTGAATTTTATATATATATATATATATATATATATATATATATATATATATATATATATATATATATATATATATATTTTAGGGGTCTTCCTACTATTAATATAATTCAGAAAATATTCATATAATATTTTCTGAATTATTCTAAAAGTTTGTTTCAGGTGATCAAATTATCCCATCAGTGGTGCTTAAGATAAATAAAAATAAAAAGTGTGATTTATTTTTTTTATTTTTCTATATGAATTAAAAAAAAGAAATTCTGCTTAAGATTTCAAAATATAGACACTTCCAAATGTTACACTACAGCACTCTCTAGTGGTAAAATGTTCAAATCTGTCTAATGTTTAAGCTTCACCGTTTTGTCAACTTCAGTCATGTCTTTGAATAGGCATGAATATGTATTCCAATCAGTCTTTATGAAAATGAGCAAGGTCTATAAGACTTATTTGGCCGTATCTAGTAAAATGATATAAATAACAGCTGCTTTCACATACAAATACCAGCTAAAGTCTAATTAAAACTAGGTAACTAGGTCCAATCCTGCAATAAACTATCAATACTGGCTATAATGCTGGCTCTGTTTTCAGGACAAATCTAAGGCAATGAATGGAACAAGGTCATCACTAATCTGGATTGGTAAGTGGTATCCTTACCTTCAGCTGAGGGATTCCCCAGCAGTTTGGTGACATCCTTGTTGGTGGGGTTCTGTCCCAGAGCACGCATGATGTCAGCGATCTGGTTGTATGCCACCTTGTTGTCACCCACCCTGTCGAACAACCCGAAGGCCTCTCTGTAGTCTATCCAGAACAATGAGAAGAGAATAAAATTACCTTATTGCTCCAGTGTTTTTGCTGTAATTGTAAATAATTTAACAAGTGTGTCTGTAAGTAAGAGCTGCCTAAGATTAACTGTTCATGTTGTATATATTTAAAAGTGCCATCATTATATGGTGTATTGATTAATATAAAAGTGAACTGAATCCTTTTGTCATTATTTTTTCCTGCCTAAATAAGTCCTACTTTTTATTCAACTATCTAGATACCAACTTTCTGCAAATTCAACTCTATGCAATCAGTTTAAAATTTGACTTTAATTCAGTTTATTAATTATAGTGTGGTAAAATTTTTTATTTCTCAGATTGTTGTAACTGAGAAATAGATACAACAGTGCAGCTGTTGCACGATTGCCAGTAGGTGGAAGTAGTTACTCTCCTAAATGAAAAGGGTAATGCACAAGCGCAAGATGTCTAAGAAGCCTGCAGTGTTGCTGGCTGAATGGACCCACTGCTGCTGAGCTCTGTCACCCCTTACACTATTTCTGTCTCAGCTGTCTCCTTCTGTCACTGTGGGGCTCTTTTAAAAGACCACCTTGGAATTGATAAACATAGCTGAGAACACGAGCCCCTCCTTTAAAGGCAAGGCCCTCTGTGGGTGAAAGCAGAGCAAAAGAAGGCAGTGCTGACTTTAGTGCAACATGCAGACAGTCAGGCTACGAATCTGGTCTTGGAACGACCAATAGGGCTTCCAGCACACAGGTGCATCGTCTTGTCAAAGTCATGACATTTCATTATTCTCTCAGTTGCTTTTGCTGCTCCTAAAATATTCCACCTATCTTTAAATTGGTATAATAAAAGAAACCAACATTAAGATTCAGGAACGGTTTAAATATATTAAGCACACCAAAGGCAAATCATCATTAATCATTTCTGTAATTTTAATATTAACTAGTGTCGTTTTTTAATTCATTTGAAAGTGCTAGCTTAGTTCTTTTAGCTGCTATTTTACATCTACAGGCAAAGCCAAATCTCTGTTGAAACATTTAAGTGCCAGAAGATAATTATTTTATTTTTTTCTGAAAACTTTTTTCTTCCAACAAAATGTACTCCTTTCTACTTTGCATGTCATTTTAAACATGACACAATCTGCTTATACAAGAAAGCTTGATTTTGTTTCAAAATGAATGTTTGATGCTGCCAAATCTAAATAGTCTAAATAAATGCATCTAAGTTTTAAGAATATCAAAAATATGTTTTCATGAAGCTTTGTATAGCTTACAACTACCGATAGTACGTACTTTATCATTAAGTCAGTCTAAGATTTCACCTGGCATGTGGTATTCTGTCGGAATGTCAAAACACAGAAATGATTGAGGTGAACACCTGTCATTGAAAACATTTTAACACCTGTTGCTGAGTCTGTTAAAGGTTTGGGTTAGACGGTTCATTTAATAAATTTTTTGAACTTCAAAGATTTAGGGTAACGAGTAGGAAAGGCTCCCTTAACAGTAGATAAGGTGAATTTTAAGACACGGCTTTCTAATTCCATTGACTGTTTGCAATTTGGCGTGTTTTTCTGTCTTGTGGTAGCAAAAGTAGGCAAAAGTCTACTTACCCTCAACCTGGTCTGCGCTGAATTCAATCTGCAAGCCAATAGGAAGCAAAATTATAAATTTAAGAAGAAAAACTGTGTCATAGAAATTTTTTTTAATGAAAGCATATAAGCACAAGTGAATTCACACAAAGCAAAGAAAAATCGTGCTGCCATTATATTTATTAATTTAGCCAACAGCTGTTATGTGTAATTACACCTTAATTTTGGGTGACCATCTTTAGCCACATTATGATGTCCACATTTGGAGACAGTGGTTTGCCATCAAAAGTTATTCATCACTCAATGTCCAATCAGATAACAGCTGGGTGTGGCCTAACCCTGGAGTGAGCTATCCATGGTTCTGTTTATTTGCCACAACCCCATTCATAATGTATGAGACTTTCCATAAACTTCAATTTGATCTAAAATTTTACCCATACATTTTAAAGCTGCATCAAATGAGTGTAACATCATATTTTATTCCACACAAATAAGTGTCACATATAAGACACAATGATTAATAATTTCATTTAAAGAGTAAGAACTAAAGGCAAAATAATTTTTTTGCTTTTTTTTTTTTTTTAAACATACAAGTCGTTTACATAGCCATTGCAGATCTATCATGCAATATTTAGTAAAGAAGTTTCAACTCATCCCCAAAAGAGTACATGCCCTCCTATTCTTTCATTAGGTTAATGCCTTAGTTGCAGGGGTACCTTGACGGCGGACAGGTCAACAGCAGGAGCTGCAGGAGCGGGCGCTGGCTCTGGAGCAGGTGCTGGTGCTGGTGCAGGTGCAGGTTCGGCCTTCTTGGCAGGAGCTTTAGGGTCCTTCTTTGGTGCCATTTCTGCTTAGTTATTAAAGTACCACTTTTTCACCGAAGCACAGTCAATTTCCGGTATGGGTAACACAGGAGAGCAGCACAGACTGGAGGGGACTCAGAGGAAGAAATCCCAGTTTGGCCGTATATATATCAGGCTATTTTCCGTTTGACCCCCGTCCATGTTGTCCCAGTACGAGGATTGGATGGCAGATGGGAGGGTGTGTTAGAGAGTGGGGGTCTCCTCTCTAAACATGGAATATAGGATTGCAGGCCAGAACAAGTTTATCCATTCCACTAATGTGAAAAGAAAAACACACTACACACTCTTTAAAAAGGTTACCTGCCTGTGTGAATTGTTTGCTGAAAGAGAAATATAAGTGCTGTGTTAGGCTGCAGGGCTGGTTAAAGATTTTAAAGAGCCTTAAACAGAAGCTGATAAGTGGAGCCCTTTCTATACACCAGTTTTGGATGTGATCAACCATTAAATGGCTGTTATGAGCATTTATCAGTCCCATCGAATGGCTCCAGACTGCACCTCCTCTACTTTCTAGTAGGTTTCTTATGGCTGATATTATGCAGCTTATCATTGATAAAAGTCTCAATCTAAAATCTTAAGTTTCACTTTCTATTTACAACATACCTCCTAAAAATAAATGCATTTTAAAACTTTACTTCAGCTGAATTCCAATCTCGTTTTGCATACAATCTGTGTATACAAAATTACAATTAAAGTTATCTAAGTCTAATGTTTCAGTCACACGGATTTAATGTGGTGATTAAAAACAACTCAGTTCACAGGATATGACATTTTTTTGGGAGGGATTGTTTGATATGAGCGACATGCCGATCAACCTTTTCTTTTACAACACTATAAGAGCAACTAAAATTATGTTCAGATTACCCATTAATACATTAATTTATTCTGCGGGTAAAAAAGGAATGATCTTAGTTCTAGGATTAGGATTTATTTGATGATAACAACCCACTGAACCTATTGGTAGGTATGAGGCACAATTTGAAGTCATTGTATGGGACTGGGAACTGCTAATAACAGCAATTTAATGGGATGATAATATCCGATTTAATTTAATTAATAAATTAATAAATTTAACAAAAAAAAAACACAAGATATATGTATGTGAGGATCTGTATTTATACACAACGATGTACCAGTGTGAAAGTGATGGGGTTTGCAGCATCAGAGCTCAGGTTTAATGTTCATACCATAAGCCTCCAAGGCAAAGTAAGGCCAGTGGAGTCTCTTCCAGGAAAAGGCTCAACAGTCCAAATGTTGGCTGAGCGTAATAATCCTTAATATGTTATACTCTGCTACTGCATCATCTGGTGTAAGTATCCTCTTGGGACAGTCGGCTTCAATTTGTTATTTTCTGAGCCATTCATACTATCCTCCACTAAGCTATCTTGTCCAAAACTGAGCAGTTCCTATGCCAGCAGGTTATGGAGGGGGTAAGTGTGCTCTTTACCACACACCTGTAAAAATGTTATAAGGACTACTGGAGCCTGACTGAAGTTTTTTTTTGTTTTGTTTGTCCACTTAGAAAGTAATAGCTTCCTACAAGCAGCCTCGTGCAGGAAACACACAGCCAGGCAGATGAGGTCAGAGCCAGCTCCCATGTCACAGTATGAAGATAGCATTCCGTTAGTAATAGTAAGAGAAACAGGTCTACACTGAAAAACAGGCTAAGCTCCAACATCTGTAAACAAATATGTTGATGGCAGCAGTAAGACTGATATTTCTCCGGGACTCTGTCACAGCCAAACTGGAACAAAGCAAGTAAAGCTAAACTGATAAGAAAAAGCTGAAAGAGTATAAAGTAAGAATGTAAGGTTGAACTAACAATTAAGAAAAGATTACAATTACGAAAGAATGGAAGAATAGAGATAGAATGAAGCAGAATGATAAAAAATGGGTCCCTATGTCCTCCAGCAGCCTAAGTCTATAGCAGCATAATTATAGAGATAGCTCAGAATAACCTGAGCCACTCTAACTATAATCTTTATTAAAAAGGTATTTTTTTAGATCTAGCCTTAAAAGTAGAGAGGATGTCTGCCTCTCAGACTAAAACTGGTATTGGTTCCACTGGAAAGGAGCCTGATAAATAAAAGATCTGCCTTCCAACTTCTTTGTATAAGAATCACTAGTAAACCTTTCCTTTACAGACCTTTTCTTCCAGTGAACATATTGGATTGTATCTACATTTATTCCCATATTTTCCTTGAAAATGCTCAGTTATAGTTTAGTATATTATTGCTGTAGTTCAGAAAGTTCATCCCTGGTTTCCACCAAAGAATTACCCATGATGGTAGGTTTCAGGCATTTTAAATTCACCAAGTATCACTTTTGTAAATGCTTTCCCCTGTATCATTATAATTCAGCAATCTGATATTAATCTTAAAGACTTAAACCACTCCGCCATGACAGACATGAGGGTCAGTTGTTTGAATAAAAGAAATAAAATACAATACAAAAATAACAATAAACACAGTCAAAGTGTTTGAGAAACTACAGTTTATGATTATGTAAAGGTTTTATATAATCTAAGCCTTCCAAAAGTCTCTGTAGGCATATATATGAAGACATATTTCTGATAAAAATGTTGGCACTCCTGATTATTCACTGTTATCAAATATGCTATTTTTCTGAAACAAAATGCAGTGCCATCTCTCCTCAAGTTGGTAACAGCTCTCATGACATCACCTTAGGGCACAGTATCATGTCATGGTGAGTAGGATCTTCTTTAGAAAGTTTGAACAAAGGCAAGGAGCTCTCATAGCCAAAAAAAACAAAAAATATTTAACGATTTAGACATTTAGATTTCATTCTGCTGTGGGTGTGTTGTGACCTGGCCAGGTGCAACAGGTCAAGGTAGGGGCTTCCTGAAGGGAACAGGTGATTGCTATTCTACATAGTAAAGTTACAGTAGGGGCATTAAGGTTACAGGATCCGGTGGGGAGGGATTGCTTTTAAGAAAGCTGAATTTACGAGGAATACTCAGACATGCATCAATCAAGCAAAATACTTTTGACTAAGGATTGTGCCTAATTATAATTAAGGAAAAGAATTATAATGCATTTAAAGGTAAAAAAAATAAATTCCCCCCAAAACTTATTTCTGCTAAGGAAAATCCTGAAAACGTTTCCATAAAGTTAAAACTGTGACCCAGCAGCTCACATAGGATGGACCGTTTAAATGAAGAACTTAAAAACCCCTTACAAATTCTATATTTTATGAAGTAGTGCATCTTTGAGAAAATTTAATTGATTCATCCGGGTGATATAATGATCTTTGATCAGCATTCAGTGATACACTGGTGTAAAAAATTAACACTGCAATAAAGTTATGATCAAAATAATATCTTAGTTTGTGGATCTGATCAGATTTTAAATATTCATAGAAAGGGTCTCTGGTAGGTAAGTATTCACACGGCTTAATCAATTTGCATGTTTAAAATTTTTTCAACATTGCAATGATGAGTTGTTTATTTTAGGAGGGAAGGCTACTCCCAGGACTGACCTTCTGACTCCAGCTCTCAACAGCTTTCTGAAGAATTAGAGACACTAATGCGCTTTTCTGACCAGAAATGAAGTGTTAGCAGTCCAGGTGAGGCTACATGCAATGAAGAGGTCCCTTCTCCCCCCTGAAATCCATCACCATCTCCTTAGTCTTCTATACATTGATACAGAAGTTATTGTCTGTGTCTCAATGTCCTCACAGACCCCTAAAACCCTCAATCACTATATAAGGTGGGCACTATATAGTGGACTTTATAGTCAACTCAGTTAACTGTCCATTCAGAAAGATGATCACTACTTGTTGGTCACATAACTCCATCTCCCTGCACGTTGCCTGCGCAATCTTTGGTCTTTCTCACTGCCACGACAAATCCCATAATGCTTTGCAAAGAGAGCTCTCGCAAAGCATTCTGGGATATATCTCCTCGTCTAGTGACGATGGATGTACACTACTTTTTAAGGTGCATTGTGGGAAATGTAGAGTCCACAACTTTTTTTTATCCACTGGACATTCTGACACTCATCTAAAATGGCATATAGTGATTAGGTCGGACGTTCAGACACAGCCATTGTCTTGGCTCGACCAGATGTTCAACCTCCTCTTTGCATTTGATCTCCTCATTATTTGTGATGCTTACCACTACAGCTATGTCATTTGTAAATTTTAATATATAGCAGTTGTGGGGTCTAGCTTAGTAGTTATATGTCAGAGTAAACAGGAGGGGCCTCAGCACACAGCCCTGGGGCATGTTAAAGGCTGTGGGTGACAGCATTGTGGATCCTGACAGTCTGTGGACTGTTGTTCAGGAAGTCCAGGACCCAGTGCTCCAGTCTAGGAATCAGTCCAAGAGAGAACACTAATGAATAATGACTGTTAGATGATGGTGTTGAGGACCAGGGATAGATCAGGAGGAGCAGATTGTTGTATGAGATTGTGCTCTCCAGGTAGATGAGGGCTGTGTGGACCACTGATGACATGGCATCAACAGTGGATAATTCCCCCCTTTGGGTGTACTGATGCATGTCCAGGGTGGTGTCACAACCAAACAGGAACAGACAAGGCGAAGCTACTATGAGAAAAAGCAGAGAGAGAGCATAGCATTAGAGATTGAACTAAAAAATTCTGCAGAGTGGGAGAATAGAGATAGAATGAAGCAGAATGATGAAATGGGAGTCCCTTTGTCCTCCAGAAGTCTAAGCCTATAGCAGCATAACTATAGAGATAGCTCAGGATAACCTGAGCCACCCTAACTATAAGCTTTATCAAAAAGGAAAGTTTTTTGTCTACCCCTAAAAGTTGACAGGGTGTCTGCCTCACACACTAAAAATGGTTGTTGGTACCACAGAAGAGGAGCCTGATAACTAAAAGATTTGCCTCCCATTCAAATTTTAGAAATTCTAGTAAACCTGCAGATTGAGAGCAAAGTGCTCTGTTAGGAACATAAAGAACAATCATATCTCTGATATAAGGTGGTGCTTGGCTATTTAAGGCTTTTTAAATGAAAAGGAGGATTTTAAATTATATTCTGGATTTAACAGGAAGCCAATAAAGAGACGCTAGTACAGGCGAGATATGATCTTTCTTTTTAATTTTCATC